CTGAGAATAGAAAAGACTGAACATGGTGTTGTACAGCACGTTGAAGGTCACATTTCCAACAATGACCGTTGGCACTCTGTCCAAACACCTGGTGACTGAATGTGGCTCGCCCAACCACGAGTTGTTTTGGTGTGACACGCACAGGCGCGCAGGCAGCCAATGCATAGCAAGCCCACTAGCAGACTCAACGCCGTCAGGGCGTGTGATGGGAAAAACACTTGCAGCACAAACAGGATAATGAGGGTAGGCAAAAATGCCCAACCCATGAGAGCCACCTTCCCGCAGGTTGTATGCCGACCACCCAGCAAGCATTGAACGGCTGGCCACACAACTGGCACAGTGTTCTTCGCCGTGTACACCAGCAGGGCTACATTACAAGAAACCATCCTCTTGTGAAACCAAAGGTGGCAGTCCACCAGTAGCAACATTTGCCAGAAAGCCAAAGGCAACGACGCATCCCAAGTTCACCGTCAAGTACAAATACATAAAGAAGGACTCCTTACCGTGAGCAGTTGTGGCCTCTGTGGGGTCAATCTGATCAGCCCCAAAGGTACTAATGTTGGGCTTGATACCGCTGGTGCCCGAAACCACCAACAGCACCACAGATTCAGCCCGGTCTCATGTCATTGTCCTCCCTTCCAATCAGGGACTTTTTTCACTCTCCGAATCTTGTTGCAGCCCTGCGTGCCCTGACCACTTTCTGACAACAACGTCTACGAAACGATGGCGGGCCAGCGCTGAGGAAGCAAGAGGCGAAGGACAGAAGCCTAAAAATTGGTGGACCGAGCTGGAATCCGCATTGCTGATGCCTTGATCTTGGAGCCAAGACTTCCTCGTCAGTTGCCAGGTCGAAAAATGGGAAAGCCATCGTGAAAAAACATCCCACGCCAGGTAGTTGCTGGGTGGATCTGAGCAGGAGAAAAATCAAAAAGAAATCTTGAAACCGCCAAGCTGACATTCAGTGACTCTCTCTCTCTCTCTTTCAATATTTTTGTTGGTTAGTTGCGTACGTATAGATACCTACTGGGAAACCACCAGCCAAGCTGCATGGTGCTCACAAAGGATTCAATCCAACTCGTTCACGGAGCTCCACCACAATGCATGCCACAGGAATCATCGCCATGGATAAAAAATCTTGGTCGGCTGCTAGGCTTTCTAGCTCAAATGGAAGACAAGATCAAACACCTTGCGTAGACTCCATGCGGAACCTTGCGCCTGAAGTGTTCAGGATATTTTGAATGTGTATATAACTGCGCCTAAAACTTGCCCATGCGGCAGGGCCATTAGAATCCCCGCGAATCCCCGTGTGTTGCGCGAGCTATTTCAACAGCTTCAGACATCTTCAGATCAAGATTTTGCATCGTCGGCCGCCAAGGAAAACGGCAAGGGTACCAGGGCACCATTCTGTTTAATGCAGATCTGTTGACTCGTTCGTATCCATGTGTTACTTGCTGGCCGAAGCCTGTGAGCCGACAGGTTAGGGTGTGTCAAAAACTGAGCCTGAAACCACGGGCTCCAGGCACTATAATTGTCCCATGACTCAAGTCACTCCAAGTAAATCGACCCCTTCGTGGTCTCTCTCGGGTTTCAACCTTGCGGATCAGCACGAACCGACTCTTATTCCTCAGCTAAGGTCCGGCTACTGTCACACTAGCGTCCTAGCAACGTTGTTAGCTGCTGCAACTAGTGGCTCTAGCGGAATAGGCCGCCAAAGATTCGGCGGAAAAAGCCCTTCTTACCTGGGACGCGGGTTCAAACTACCCAATGACTGGTTTGTTTACTATTCATCATCGATAATATCAATGTTGGGGATCATAATTATGAACCAAAACCAGGCCACGCCGCTTTCTTGTTGGTTTCAACACCGTACCAAAACAAGTTCTCAGATGATGGAGCCAACTTGCCAAATAAATGCGGAAGACAAATATGGAAGTACAATGTATTAAAGCATTAATATGTTGCAAAAAATATGAACACACTCAGCACTTTGTCTTTCTACTTCTCCCAACCCCAAGGATGTTGAAATCTCAGTGTTTGCATTCGTTGATCATCATTTTCCAAGTAGAATTGGCCATTTTGGGGTCGTCCCAGACCCATTCCAGTGCAGCCGACTGGCTAGCTTCCGCCAGCTGGGTGTCGACACCATCTGCAGCTGTGGACAGGCCAATCTTCACGATCTCCTTGAGATGAAAAAAGGACTTGTTGCAATAAAAGCATGCGTTTAAGGTCCTAAAAGCGACAACAAGGGTGCTTTAACCGTTAACCAACAAGAAGGGTGTTTTGAGAAATCAACATCGGGATTCTATCCAAGAAATACGGGCATCTATAAGAAACCAACCGTAGTGTCCCATTGCCATACTGGAGTCCTGGAGGGTAAGGCTAAGGAAAATCTTTAGGTGAATTTTGATCAGCCAAAAATGGGCACACCATGGCACATCACCAACAGGCCTTTGACCAAGAAAACCTGGACTTGATCGATACAAAACTTGGGTGATTTTGGGGACTGTTTGCTCCTCATTAAATAGCGCAATTAGGACAACCAGAAGGGGTCCAGCCCTGATCCAAATTAGATCCACTAATCTACAACCCTGAAGGGGGATTAGCCAAACCCCATAATTAAGGAATATTCCTCCAGTGGTGGTGATGATGATGATGATGAAGATGATGAAGATGATGATGATGATGACGATGACGATGACGACGATGATGACACTGTTGTTTGACCCCCTCCAAAAGGGGATCACAAAGAACTTTCTCAAAAAGAACCACCGCCACGACCACTGTTGAAAGATGTCACGATATCCACAATCCGGGAGGAGGAGTGGCTGAGGAGTGGTGAGTTTGACCTGTCTCAACTCCAGATGTGTCATCTTGTTGCATGAGCCAAGGAGCAGTGAACTTCTCCATATTCAAAAGTGTGGCTTGGACCTTCCAGCAACAAATTCACCAACATTTTGGCACAGATTGGACGCTCTGGTCCCATCCTCTGCCTGCCAATGAAAACATGGTTCCGTGCCTGTGTCTTGAACTTCATGATCTCGCCATTGGCAGATTCTCCAAGGGCGATCTGCAGCTACAAAAGCACAACTGGGACATACTGGTCATACTGGGACCATTTTCCCATGGGGTTAGGAAAGTCATCCTCTCATATTCTCAAGCAGCATCCGGGTTACTCCTTCCTCTCTAACTTCTAATTGTTAATGGTGAAATTACATCGCTTGAAGTCTCCCATTCGGGCTACTGTTGCTTGGGGAAGAACAAGAAACATCATCAATATTCATCAATCATGTCTAAACAACTTCGGTTTATGGGGGTTACCCATCGCTATAGTGCTCATCTGCTACTAAAATGGTACCATGGTACCCATCTGCCCCGCTTAAATTGCGCCTCCAAGGGTCCCTGCAAGGCTCCGGTCAAAGACTGGCAGGATTGCAGGGTCACAGCCCAGCAGAACACTGGGTGGTTTCAACATTTTTAACTGAACAATAGAGAAACCATAAGAAAACGTATTAGTCATTGGGAATCATAATTCAGAAGCCAATAAGTCCAATAAGTATTTAACCATATTTGACACAAACTTATTCAATTGATTCACCATTTTGTTCACATGGCAACCCATCTCAAACTCAATCCAGGAGTTGGATTACTTGGACATTTTTGACATTTTTGACACCTCCACAGACTTCAAGTCTGAGACACTCCCGGCTCGGCCTCCACATTTTCATTGAGTTTCTTCCGGAAGTTGGATGCCGTGGAAGCAAGCGAGCCCAGCTTCTCCCTCACATCACCCTGCGGGGAAAGCTGATCTCAAGCAGAAGCCACGGAAAAAACAAACAGAAGGCACTGACTTCACAAACCTCATCAGTTCGGTTTAGATTCTGTACCACCCCTAAAAGGAGCTGTATATAATTATATAATTATATATAATATATTATATGTATATATATAACTTATAACATTATATACACATATTATGCGTGTAACTAACTAAGATTCAACCCCAAAACAGCGATATATTCCCAGCTGTTTTGGGGTTACTATAACCAATAAACATCAATAAACCACAGCAATGCCCGCGCCAAGATGTCACCATACTTCTCAGAGCTCGTGTCAGCCACTTTTGATGCCAAGGCCTCAAGGTGGACGATATGGCATGATGTTAACGGCCTTCCTATCTTTCCTTGGCGCCAAACAGGCACCAAAAACGTCCTGAAAAACCACACTCTCCTGACTTTCAGGTGTTCAGTCCCTGGCCTCAGAGGTGTCCGCGAGTTTATGCAGCTTTTCCGTCGCAGCGGTGTTCAAATCTTCCAACTTCTGCGTCAATTCCTGCGGAAACGCGGCAGACCTCGGGATACCTCGGAAAGCTGATAAGCTCCCAAGAATCCAATCAAAGTTGGGCAAGTTAGGCAATATTGAGCGAATTCTGAAGCGGGAAACTGAAAGCTTGGGAGCACTTTCCGGCCCCCCCCAAAAAACAAATCAATGAATTCCGTCCGTCTAAACAAACAAACGCACATCCAGTAAGAGACCCCAAAATGAATAGATCATAATGGACCCAATACTGAACCATGGGATCCATTGGGATTCGATTGCATAATCATATGCACATGGTTTATTATTATCCCCTATGATCATCCAATTCCAAGGATAATGATGGATAATCATACTAAGTCATTTCATTTTCCTCTGGTAATTAAACATGGCTAGTTGGAAAAATGCCCGAACTACATGGATCCAGATACATCTAAGTGGAATTTTCCATCTGAACAAAAACCATCGAACTTTTTCATGGGCACTTTTTCAGGAAATAATGCTGAGCTGAGTCCTCCTGACCCATCATGGAGGCTATAGCCTTGGTGGTTTTCACTGCCTCACCCACCTGAGGAGTCCAGGAACCAGGACTTGGACATGGTGATTTAATGCTGGTCAAATAGTCACAATTGCCGTTATGGTGGTTCAGCCATGTTGAGCCGTCATTTTGAGGCATCGAAAAACCACCGCTTTCTTGGGAAGCGACGGTTCAAGCGTAGAGGAAATCAAGAAAACGAAACGACAAAACACAGTAATGAATCATAATGATCTTTGCTGATTGTGCTCAAACGTGCCAAGCATGGCAGCATCGTTCTGTGACGACTTTCCCACCTGGTCAATGGCTGAAACGTAGAACGGCGCGTAGCGTTTGACCTCGCTGCGTTTTTCTGTGGGGCTGTGGATCCATAGCCTTGGGATTTTCTACCTCCATGTGTGGCCAAGACACCGTCTCATCGATCAGTGCCTTAAACTTGGTCATGTTCTGGCCTAGGTGTCACAGCTCTTGAAGCCCTGAAACAACTGACTTGGAAAATTATGTTTTTATATATGTTTTTATATATGTTTTTTTTTTTTTTTTTCCAGCACCTAACGTATTCATGCATATTCATGCACATTCTTTATATGGCCACCCAAAACGGGCACTAACCGGCCCCTTTGTTTCTTTAAACATGTACGCCCCAATCCGGACGTTGCTCCACACTTACAATAGTCATGATGATGATGATGATGATGATGATGATGATGATGATAATCATCATCATGATCGTCATCATCATCGTCATCGTCATCGTCATCATGACCGTCATCATCACCATCATCATCACCACATCATCACGTCATGACCATCATCACATTAAAATTCGCCCCCCCCCCTACGAACAATATGTTGACGGGGGTAAAAACATCAACTTTATCTTCCTGAGGGGTCCAAATTCGCCACCCCCTGCCCCTATGAACAATATGTTGATTCGAGTAAAAACATCAACTTTTTTCATAAAGGATCAAAATTCGTCACCCCCTATTGGCAATATGTTGATTGGAGTAAGAACATCAACTTTTTCTTCATGAGGGATCAAAATTCGCCACCCCCTCTTAGCAATATGTTGATTGGGGTAAAAACGTCAACTTTATCTTAATGAGGGATCAAAATTCACCACCCCCTATGAACAATATGTTGATTGGGGTTAATAACATCAACTTTATCTTCATGAGGGATCAAAATTCACCATCCCCTATGAACAATATGTTGGTTGGAGTAATAACATCAACTTTTTCTTCATGAGGGATCAACATTCGCCACCCCCTCTTAGCAATATGTTGGTTGGAGTGATAACATCGACTTTCTCTTCATAAGGGACCAAAATAAGCCATCCCCTATGAACAATATGTTGATTGGGGTAAAAACATCAACTTTATCTTCATGAGGGATCAAAATTCACCACCCCCTATGAACAAGATGTTGATTGGGGTAAAAACATCAACTTTATCTTCATGAGGGATCAAAATTCACCACCCCCTATGAACAAGATGTTGATTGGAGTAATAACATCAACTTTCTCTTCATAAGGGATCCAAATTCGCCACCCCTATGAACAATATGCTGATTGGAGTAAAAACATCAACTTCTTCTTCATAAGGGATCAAAATTCGCCACCTCTATGAACAATATGTTGATTGGAGTAATAACATCAACTTTCTCTTCATAAGGGATCCAAATTCGCCACCCTTATGAACAATATTCTGATTGGAGTAATAACATCAACTTCTTCTTCATAAGGGATCAAAATTCGCCACCTCTATGAACAATATGTTGATTGGAGTAATAACATCCACTTTTTATTCAAAAGGGATCAAAATTCGTCACCACCTAGGAACAATATGTTGATTGGGGGTAATAACATCACCCTTTTTCTTCATAAGGGATCAAAATTCGCCACCCCCTATTAGCAATATATTGATTGGAGTAATAACATCAACTTTTTTCCCGAATGCGTAGCAAGGGTTCCCGTTTCACCCTGGGGGTCTGGGGGTTGAGGGTGTGTTCGCTCGACGTTGCTTCCGCGTCCGCAACCGTTCGCAACCGTTCGCACCGTCCGCGCGATCCCCGTATGGCCGTGCCTATGGGAAGTTCTGCAGAGGTAGTCATTTTTGGAAGTTTCAGACGTGTCGTTGCTTCGTTTCGCGTGGCAGGCGTGGCACTTCGTGACATTCAGACGTGTTTTGCAACGTGTTGAAAATCGTTTTGCGTGGCAGGCGCAATACTTTTGTGACGTTTTCAGAAGATGTGTTGCAGTTTTCGTGGCATGCGCAGCACTTTGGACGTGTCCATCGTCATTTTTCGTGGCAGGCGCAGCACTTTAGACGTGTCCTGTTGCGTGTTTTTTGTAAATCGCATTGGCAGGGCTGCGTCAAGTGGTGACAAGGTGCAAATTCCGTGGCAGGCGTGGCATTTTCTGACATGTGCTGAAAATTGACGGAAGCCTCGCACAAAACATCAATTTTGAGGTTGCAAATTTTCAGGTTCTAAGGAACACTCGTAGGAAAACGTCGATTTTGAAGCTGCAAAGTGCCAAAATAGGAGGAAGTCTCGTACGAAATGCTCGTTTTGGTGCGCAAGATGTGTCTCGTCTCGAGTCTCTGGTGTTCCCGTGGCTTCGCCGTGTCTATGGGGGAAGCTGCAAAACCTGTCCTTTTGTTATGTTGCCAATTGTGAAAATCGCCGGAAGTCTCGCATGAAATGATCGTTTTGGTGCTCCCACGTGTCTCGTCTCGAGTCTCTGGTTTTCCTGCGGCTTCGCCGTGTCTATGGGGGAAGCCGCAAAACCTCTCCTTTTCGAAGGTTTCCAAGGAAGTTGTCATGTCGTTTTGCGTGGCAGGCGTGGCACTTTGTGACATTCCAACCTGTTTGCTAATGTGTCAAAAATGTCAAAATTGGAGGAGGTCTCGTACGCAATGCTGGTTTTTCTGCATCCACGTGTCTTGTCTCGAGTCGCTGGTTTTCCTGTGGCGTCGCCGTGTCTATGGGGGAAGCTGGAAAACCTGTCCTTTTCGAATGTTTCCAAGCAGGTTGTCATGTTGTTTTGCGTGGCAGACGTGGCACTTTCTGACATTCCAACCTGTTTGATGATGTTCACAAAATTTCAAAATTGGAGGAAGTCTCGTAGGAAATGCTGGTTTTTTCTGCATCCTCGTGTCTTGTCGCGAGTCTGTCGTTTTCCTGTGGCGTCGCCGTGTCTATGGGGGAAGCTGGAAAACATGTCCTTTTCGAATGTTTCCAAGCAGGTTGTCATGTTGTTTTGCGTGGCAGACGTGGCACTTTCTGACATTCCAACCTGTTTGATGATGTTCACAAAATTTCAAAATTGGAGGAAGTCTCGTAGGAAATGCTGGTTTTTTCTGCATCCTCGTGTCTTGTCGCGAGTCTGTCGTTTTCCTGTGGCGTCGCCGTGTCTATGGGGGAAGCTGGAAAACATGTCGTTTTGCGTGGCAGGCGTGGCACTTTGTGACATTCCAAACTTGTTTGATAATGTGTTGAAAATATCACAATTGGAGGAAGTCTCGCACGAAACGATCGTTTTTTTGCACCCACGTGTCTCGTCTCGAGTCTCTGGTTTTCCTGTGGCGTCGCCGTGTCTATGGGGGAAGCTCCGCACTCCACACTCTACACTCCACAATTTACACTTTGAAACTTTAGACTCCACACTCTACACTTTGCACTCCACGCTTTACACTTTGCACTTTACACTCCTCACTCCTCACCTGCGACTTTACACTCCACACTCCACACTTTACACCACACTCTACACTTTCCACTCCTCACTCCTCACTCTACACTCTACACTCCACACTCCTCACTCTACACTTTACACTCCACACTCCACACTTTACACTTTACATCACTTTACACTCCACACTTCACACTTTCCACTCCACACTCCGCACTCCACACTTTACACTCCACACTTTACACTCCTCACTCCACACTTTACAATCGTCACTTTACACTCTACACTCCACACTTTAAACTCTACACTTTACACTCTACACTCCACACTCCACACTCTACACTTTACAATCTACACTCCACACTTTACATTTTACACTCCACACTCCACTCTACACACCACACTCTACACTTTCCACTCCACATTTCGCACTCCACACTTTACACTCCTCACTCCATACTTTACACTCCACACTCCACACTCTACACTCCACACTCCCCACTTTACACTCCACACTCCCCACTCTACACTTTCCACTCCACACTCCGCACTCCACACTCCACACTTTACTGTACATTCCACACTCCACACTTTATACTTTACACTCCTCACTCCACACTCCACACTCCTCACTTTACACTCCACACTCCACACTCCACACTCTACACACCACACTCTACACTTTCCACTCCAGACTCCAAACTCTACACTTTACGCTCCGCACTCCACACTTTACACTTTACACTTCACACTTTACACTCCACACTCCACACTTTACACTCCTCACTCCACGCTCCACACTTTACACTCCACACTCCACACTTTACACTCCTCACTCCACACTCCACACTTTACACTCCTCACTCCTCACTCCACACTTTACACTCCACACTTCACACTCCACACTCTACACTTTACATTCCACACTTTACACCCCACACTCCACACTCTACACTTTACACTCTACACTCTATACACTCTACACTCCACACTTTACACTTTACACTCCACGCTTTCCACTTTACTCTCCTCACTCCACACTTTACACTCCACACTTTACACTTCACACTCTACACTCTACACTTTACACTCCATACTCCACACTCTACACTTTACACTCCGCATTCTACACTTTACACACTCTACACTCTCCACTCCACACTTTACACTCCACACTCCTTACTTCACACTCCACACTCCACACTCTACACTTTACACTCCACACTGCAGACTGGTAACAAGGGAAACATGTACAAGACTGTTCAAATAAACTATTGCAGAAAGGTATTGTGCGTGACTGCATGCTGCATAACCATGTGTTTTGACATCTGTACCATTAACATACGTGTGAGCATTCGGGTTCGTGGGCGTCATCTTGTTTTCATAAGGGATCTAAATTTGCCACCCCCTATGAACAAGATGTTGATTTGGAATTTGGAGTAATAACATCAACTTTTCCTTCATAGCCACCTGAAGTCAGACGCGGCGCAACGTCAGGGTTGCAGCGAACATGTATCAGCATGTATCTGTATTAAACATTACTAAACCATCTCATCCTGGGCTAAGTCTTCTTCTGCCATGTCATGCCATGTCAATGAATCTACGGAAGGTTCCCAAAAACATGGCAGGGTCCTAACTGGGATTCCCTACTCACAGTGGCTGTTGCACTAGCCGCTTCGTTAAACTTGTCGAGGGAAGCATTGAACGTACCTGCCAGTCATCAATTTGCAGTGCTGGAAGGGTTGGCAGTTTCATGTTTGTTCACAGTGAAAATATGTGAAAATGTAGTTGCTGACAGCCAGTTCAGCTGCAGCAGCTAAGTTCCGTGCCCTCAGCTTGCCTTAGCACATCTTGGCCAATGCACGGCTGAGTGGACACATCTGGCATCCCAAGCAAATTCTTGGTGAACGGAAATCATCATCCCAGATCAATACGTTGTTACATCATTCCGCATTCAACAAGCTGCAGCCTTAAGAGGGAGGTAGACTTGCCGGGCTGAACTACCGTAGCTGCAGCTTGCCAAGGTGCATGACCTCAGAATTCAGCTTAGTCATCGCCTCACCCCTCTTCGATGTCACCTGTCCAACGCCTGGAGATTTTGGAGCAACCCAAGATGCATCCCTAAAAACCTGGTTTTGGACACGATTTTGGATGAAGGTCTCTCTTCCGATTGGGCACGTACATTTTCACGTTCCATGCCCAAGTTCTGGTATTCGGAATTCTGGGAGAATCGTTGTGGGAAAGGAATATGGCACAATTCTGGGAAGAGGTGAATCTCATATATGCATTTCTGGCGAGATGCCTAGATGCAATATGCAATTTCAAGGGTGATTGCAAATGGACCTGTAGATGCAATTTATTAGATCTTATCCAATCCGTATCTGGCTAGGGTAGCCTCATAACAATAGGGTTCTTCAGCCAGGCAGTGACACGACAGCCTCGCCTGATGTCATGGCATCTTTTCCAGCACCCAAAATCCTCACCATCAACGGCTGCTCATGCCCCTGAACCTATCAACAAATTCAGCCAAATCCAGGCCCGAATTCTCGGCCCTAGGGATTTTGATCAATCTACACTTAGCCTATCAGCTCCCCACAGCCAACAGCCAGCAGCCAAGGTGCTCAGACCAGTCCGGGAACTTCTCTTCAGTCTTCGCTTGGAGAAGTTCCAACTCATCGGCTTCGCAATTCTGACACTCCTACGGTGGCAATCGCATGGCACCGGCAGCGTTAGGGAATGGATGGGAATGAAGCGTAAGGAAACCTCCAGACCCTTGGGCTTGTTAATTATTGCTTGATCAATTCAACACATTTTTTGCCTTGTTTAGGGTTCCGTAGGGGTTTCCAAGTTGCAAGTAGATTTCCACAGCTCGGTGGTGAAAGCTGACGACCACTGACCCAGCCGCTTGATAGGGGCATGGCATGGCATGGCTGTTCCCATAGAGAAATAGACAACAAATGACAACCACCTCTTGAGTTTGAATTCTTCAGGCACTCAAGGCTTCCATGGCCCAGATTTTGACCTATCCTCTGTGGCAGCAAGAACAACAAGCAAAGGAACTAAGACTCTGAAGAAGCTCATGGCGGACTAAGCGCCTCAGCCTCAGCTGATGCATCATCACTTTGAACAAGCATATGCTAGTGGATACAACGAGCATCAATGAGCATGACATGCTGAATGCAATTAGCTTGATATAATAGCAGGATAGTACGGGTAGTATATAGTATAATGAACCAACTATAACTATGTGGGATTTGACCAAGAGAGGCTGGCTTTGGGGCAAGAAATTCATCTGGTGATTGCAGCTGAAGCGCAAGCAGCGCAACGGATCGAAAGTTTCGATGTCTAAAAATGAATGCCAAACGGCTGCAGTGAAATTCACCTGATCAAAATGGACTGATTCATCAGAAGCAAACGAACACATCACGTTTCGGGATGAAGCCCGTTAAAACGATGCTGCGAATGCGCATTCTTTTTTCCCACTTCCACGACTGTCTTCGTTCTTGAGTCTCCTTGACTCACGGCGCAAGCCAAACCCAACTATTGCCACCTCTGGGACTACAATCGTAAACCAATAGGCACGTTGTTTTTTGGGGTGGGGTGGATCTCATGGAGGCCTCCAAATGCAGGGATTTCCATGGATTTCACTTGTGTGTTTCAACATGTTTCAACGGGCCCACCCTCCAAATGTCCTTGGCAGCAAACCTCAAAGGTATATGGTCCATCCCAGCACGCGGCATTTCCACCAGGACCATACCTGCAGTGACGCCCGCAGTTGCTGTGACAACGTTTCAGTGCATCCTTTTGCAGCCCAGCGGCTGATCCACATTGCAACAAAGGCCAGGGCTGAACCCCAAAGCCCAGCAATCCAATTCAGCCTGGTTTCACGTAAAATCAACTGATTTTCAGCTCGTGTGAATAAATGAGGACCACCAAAACATGCAGAAAATGGAGCCGAAACCATCCAAAACCCTGATTCCATCAGATTCCATCCATCCCACCAGGCAATCCTCCAGTGGCTGGGGTGACTCCACGAAAACCTTCTCAGGTGTTGCCCTTCTCTCATCCGGTGTCAAACGGATCACTTTGCTCAGCCTCCTTGGTGGGACAGCGAATACCCAAATAGCTGGGATTTATCAGGGTTCAAACATGTTCAACCCCCAAATAATCCCAATATGGCATAATACCAGTATGGCATACTTGGATATAATTGGTATTGATCCATCTCCATTTCAGTGCTTAGTGACTTAGCGACTTAGTTCCCGCAACTTGCTTCACATTCTGAAGGGGTTTCGGCAACATCTGAGGCGCCAACAGTAGGAGCTGGTACAGGTAGAACAAACTCGCCTCCAGAGTCAGATCGCTCTTGGCAAAGCGCGCGGCTTCGGCTGCAATCCTGAAAAACAAAATCAGTTGATGAGACGATCATCATTGATGAGCCACATGCAATTGATTGCAAATGGGAATCGGGTACCCAAGTTTAGATGTGGTTTATCAATGTTCATCACCATCTTCCCATTGTAAAATTGCATAAATTGCCACACCGCAGGGGTAAATCACCAAATTACAACTCCAAATGGCTTGGCCTGGCACTATCTTCATCGTGCTGCTTGGCCCAGTCCAGTTGGTCCAACAAATCCTGGGAAGTTGGGGTAGCCAACTCAACATGACAAAAAAATTGGATGTTTTTGGGGTCTTCCATGGTAAGAAACTTTTAATCTGGCTAGAAGCGTGAGGATGACCATTTTCCAAACCTCCGCGCTGACGTGGCGGCCACTATATGTTGTTTGAATGACGAAAAACTACTTGTCTGTACGTAATTCTCCCAGTTGGGCAAATATATGAACCTTAGAAGACCCCCCTACTCAAGAAGGGAAGAGTAGGACTTGACTCCTTTGAATTCATTTGAACCATCCATTTGACCTGCCATTTAATTACCACCAAGTCTCAGACAAATTGCCATGAATCGGCACATAGTGTTTCCATGCTTCCAAGCCAGCATCCAACCACACGCGAATGCTGGAGCCCGCACGAAAGACCAAGGAGTCAGTAAGCAACAGCCAGAAAAGACGATCGGAGAAGGATGTGCCATCAAGATAGGCTAAATACCTCATGATTTCATACATCTTGCGATGCTTGCAGTTCACAAAATCAGGAAATCAAAGAAACACAACGCAATTAACTATCTTTATACAGTACCCCTAAAACATCCAAAAACTTGGGTTGAATTGACACGAAAAAAAATACACACAGGCACATCAAACAAGTGGGCCATGTGGGTGCAAATGTATTATGTATGCTCTAAACTACCGTCAGCTCACCTACCATTTCAGACCATCGAAGTTTTTTTTTTAAAAATACTGGTTTGGTTGGGATATGTCACATTTTGAAGGGGAAATGCAACCCCATTTCATATGGCATTACCATCATAAAATCAGACCACTTCCGCGAGCCCATCGGCCAGTGGCCACAAATAGCATGGTACTCGTGATGGTTTGTGGCTGATATCCCCTGTTATGTTCATTTTCATTCCCGGTGGCCAAATCATTCTCCCGACCTCCATGCTTAGCCGGTAAGCAAATCCGTGTGACTTGTGCAGCACATGAGCTTCAGGAGGGACAATCTCCGCCACTCGCAGCCCACTGGCATCATAGACCTGGGTAAGATGAAGCGCTTGGGACTTGGGATGGATTCATATTCCCAGGTCCCAGGGCGGCTACAAACCAACATGGCACCTCTTGACAGTCTCGATGGACCGTATCCTTTGTGAAGACTGCATCGATCCGTGAAGGGAACAGTGATGATGCCAGCACCAATTTCGAGCGTGGAAAAAGGGGCCAAGTGTTGGGTGTCCATGTGGCACAAGCCAAACTGCAGCTCCTGGGTGGAAACATGATCTGAAACGTGTCTGCATGATTCAGCATGTACAGAAAGTTAGTTTTAGAATAAAGACTTGGGAGATCTTGGCAGGCGTTTGCGATTGATGTGGCTGACAACTTCAGAAAACATGATCCCAAACAAAACTCAAAATCATGGCTGATTAGTTCCATAATGTTCCATATATATATATATATCATATCATATTATATCATATCATATTATATTATATTATATCATATTATATCATTCCTGCGACCCAGAGTCTCTTTGGCAACATCTGAGTGCAAACATCCAGTGTCAGAGCCTCGCCAGAATAAAACCTCTGCACGATCCTCCCACTGAATCTCCCTGGAAGCTTGCTCGAGCCTCTCTCGATATCGTCTTGTCCAGTCCTTGGGAACTCGACAAGCGTTTGGGCATGGGTCAATACACATTATATGAACATTGTGAATTACATTTTCCATCTTTGGGGGGATGAACATCCATTTGCCATCCATATGACGACGCTCACATGCGCCCAGCAGCCCATTGAAGGAATGCCCACCAAGGCATGAGGATTCCACGACAGTTCGCCGGCTGCGCCTGGACTAAGACCTGGACAGGATTTTCCGTTGGAAAATCGGACACCATGGTCTTTACCATCATTTTTAATCATATTTGTAGGCTTTTCCTGCGTTCCCTTAAGCCAATACAATGAAATCCACTATAGACATATTGAAATATATTGAAATCATTTGAAATCCACTTTTCATTTGAACATCTGGGAGATCGCCGTGTGTCAACATGCCGTGAACCCTGGGAGGTCAGGGCACTGGTACAGTCAGATCGACTTCGCTCACGCTGCCAACGCCATAGTATTCTTCGGTGTGAACCAAGAGGTCCTCAGCCCAGTGACCAGCATTGTTGAAGAGGTCTGAGCATGGCTGGACTGCAGTCATGAACATCGATGAAGTAAATTCCCAATGATTTCACTTTTTTGGGCATGGTCACTATTTCATGACATTTTACAATGCTTTGAATATTTTGAATATCTTTTAAAACGAGGTCTTGAAAAAATTAAGGATATTCCAGGAATGTTTCTGTAGCACAGTCCATGTATAATGCTTAGTCTCCATCTCTGGCAGGCCAAACATTTCATGCAGGATCTGCAAGGCTGCTCGTAGCGAATGGAGCAAGGAGTCATATCCTCACGGCATCCCATGATTCAGCCAGCGGTTAGCTGGTGACCGTAATGGCGGCTCCCTTATCAAGATCTCTACATTGAAGGATTCCAAAGCAATCAAAGCACCAACCAAAGCCATCAATGGACCGATTATTAGGAATGATTGGGCCGTCCAAATTCAAATAACCTGGGAGAACTAGGGATACAGTAAAAAAATGAAGTTGATTGGGGTTGCACGGGTTGCAACCGAATCTAAAAGTAGTAGGAGTTCATCCTTCTTTTAGGATCGGAAATGCCAAGGCTCTGGAGCGGCTGAAATCACAATGAAAGATCTCACCACCACTTCCTCAGTCGTTGGTCGATGTCAGCTGCAGTGGGCATGCAGCCCGCAACACTTGGGCCAAGCGTCGGAGACGAAATCGGCAGATGTTGGCAGCTCTGCCCAGCTTCTCATAGGCCTCTTCCATTTCATCCAAACTTCGGCCAGTGAAGGGCCCCTCGGGGAGCCAAGGAATCTGGGCAGAAGACTTGGTGGTCCTTTCACGGTTCTTTTTTGTCGATCAGTCCCCGTCAGGTTGATGGCTAGATCACTGAGGCCAGAACTCGATTCTCCCAGTCTTTCAAATCCTAGGGCTGGAGTCAGCTCATGAGTCAGCAGCAAATGTTCATGTGGGGAAACAATCTCTCGCCTGGGTATTGGGTCCACCTGGATATAGAATGAAGGCCCTGGGAATTCAGACCGGTGGTTGGCGGTGAAACCATGCTCTGACTCAGTTTTAGGGGTGCTTTTGTGACCTGCATGTATACAGTCTGACGAGTTGCACATTGCATCAACATCTCCAGGCATTTCTTCGGTGGCTAGTGGATGAGATGCTACAAGGACATGCCTTGTCGACTCACATGAGCACTCGGGTGTGTAGAAAGACTAGATCCGACACAAGTATCCAAACATGCTCCTTTTCTGAGCCCCATCGACGTGTGGAAACTGCGCAGCAACACTAGGTCCTGGTTGATCTGGTTGACCATCCACTGTGGTGGGCCACTTTTTGCCAGCTTCTGCAATTCTGGGAAGCAGCAGTCAATGTGACGGCGAGTGAAACCCAGGGTCTCTCCTGACGAAATCACAAGTGGATAAGCATCCCTCTGGGTAGGTGTGTCACTAAATGGGCAACCTGTAATTCGAGTCAAGGAAATATCTTAAAAAAAAATGACCGGGCATGTGTGCATGTTCCCTTCCTTCGGAATGTTTATAAATATGTTTAGATTTTGGATTAAATTGGATCATAGAAAACGCCACGGCAACATCCCACGTGAAACTGGGTGGGTTTTCCAAGGTCCAGCTTGAGCCTTTCGGTTTCACTTCCTGCGGCCATTTTGGCCGGAGATCAACGGCAGAAATCACTGGCTCTTGGTGTAGACCACCAGGTTTTTGCCAAAGAACATCAAGAAACCCTTCTCGGGGGAGGTGCCTTCAAAAGCCAACAGCCATTCCACCAAGTCATCATACGTTCGAACGGGTCGGTCGCCCAACCGCCGCTCAGGGAACTCATCGGCAAAAGTACAGCAGGGTACAACGGCGAATGGACGTCCCAGGGCCCTGGCCAGTTCCAATATTCCGCCTGTGGCCTGATCAGGATGCAAGCCAACCACCACCTCACATTTCAGCACATCTTTCCATTCCTCATCCTGATCTCTAAGCGCTTTGAGGGCTGTTTCCACTGGCACCTGACATTGTTTCAATGGACAGTTCGCCACATATTCCTGGCACTGTTGGTAGCTTCGAATGCCCTGGCTCTTGAACCACAAGCGCTGCTGCCGCGAGACGCGCCAGTCCTTCCAGGCCGCCGCGCCACCGTCAGTATCGCCACCGGGGCAGCGGGGGTCCAGCACAACGCAGGGGATTTGGCGCTTCACGCAGAGTTCGAAGGCCAATTCGCCACGGCCACCGGCGATGTCCAGGACGCCGTTCTGTAACTTTTCACGGCTATACCTGGGAATCACAGGAGAGGGATCAGGGTGTGCCATGTATGCCATAGCGTTCAAGGATGGTCAACGATGGAAACAGTTGTCGTCGAGCTTCCTACAGGTAACTTGAAGAATTGTGATGATAGAGAATGGGTATGCGGGGTCCAGCTCAAGCGGATAAAGCAAATGTCTACATAGATGTGACTAGACTTGATAACAAATGATTCGACTCTCTCTCTCTCTCTGTCTCTCTCTTTCTTTCTGTAATTATATTGGGTTATAATGTGTTTGATGCCATTAAGATCGAAACAACCAAGAAATAGTTTATCATAGTTTATCTATGTTTAACATGCGGAATCTTCCATTTATTCCATCTTGTTGATTCTGTTCGAGTATTTCTCAAGACGGGCTGATCAGAGAAACTGGCCCAAAGAAACCTTCAGAGAAATGCTTGATCAAACCTTGAGCCCAACATTTTTCAACCACGATGCATCTCACAAAGCCAATCAGCAAAAACTGCTGCACGATGCGCATGGCTCTTCTTGTCCTTCTCTCCATGTGGATCCTCCGCTTGCGCATTGGACGCCATGCGCCGGGACTGTTCCTGTCGCCATCGGAGCCGGGCTTCCTTCAACTCATCGCCCTGGGGATGGAAACCATCGCATTGGGATCTTTGGCAAGATCCGTTACTCATCCAGAATTTACATAACATTCTCCGTCGCGAAGTAGCTGGAACGTCGTAAGGACTTGGTGGTGGTTCTACCTCGGCATCGATGTGGGCATCCTGCTTGGGAGCCTTCCTCGGATTCTTGGCTTCGGGTGCTTGGAAGGAAGCACCACCGCCAATATCTGCCCAACGCTGCTGGATGGAGTAGGAAAAAACATCCATGATATGACCGCACTCCCGCCACGTCCCCACACATCGCACCACATCGCCCACGGCGATCTCTTTTCTGACCTCGCGTACTTCAGAACCATAGACATCAAAGGAGAAAATTGCTTCTGGGCTTGTGCCTTCTGTGCGTGAACCTAGCTGAAGGAAAAGGAGTTTATTTCCACAAGTCCTTTTGTGGAGGACTTGCCCTTCTAGCTCCTTCTTCTCATCTTGCAGACGCTGACCCGGAAAGGATCCTCTTGGAGGATCGGACGCCATGCATGACGTTGAACAGCGGTTGGAAAAAGAGACTAAGTGCCAACATAGTCTGTTTATATCTGTTCCATTTTGTTTCTGCCTCCAAATGTCTGATTCACTGATGAGTATGAAGATATGCGCTGTTTCGTTTTTGTTACTGTGCCCTTAGCTGACTAGAAAAGCAAACAGTCAACACGAACTCGCATATGCGTGTGGATACACCTGCCGATTTGCCTGGATCTTTTAAGATAAAAATGCGCACGGGCCTCAGAATCCCTGTCGTTCGAGCCAAATGACTGCTTGGCACCTTGCCTCACCTGGACAACAGGAACATCCCGGGTCCCACTATCCCAGCTATTCACCCTGCAACCGCAACCCCTGCCAAAAATGCATCCGGTTGGTGGCTTCCTATGAAAGTGAATTTCGATCATCCCAATTTGTTGTTAGAAAACCATGCGACCCCCAAACAAACACATCCAAAGGTAAAGATTGGTTTTGGACCGCTGAATACATCTAATTCTCCCGAAGAATCATGTACTGTATAATATTGTATAGTCATGTATATAATCTATGAGCTGGGGTCCCAGTTTGGTTTTTTCCCGACTTAAGAGCCATGACCTCGGTCCTGTGGATGCATCCTGCAACTCCGGAGAGCCGCCACGTCCAGCTCCCCAACAGGCGTTCGAACTTAGAGAGGAGGCGTGGCAGCAAAACGTGGCCAGATTCGCCTCAGTGACTGGGAACAAAATGGAGCAAAACATCGTAGAGCCACAGGAATTATGACACAGTGTTGGCACATCATCAAATTGAATATTCCTGTATATGCTATATCTATATATATATATTTTTTTCCATATATTTATTTATATCTATATACATCACATTACCGGGCATTACCGCATGCATACCTCCTGAAGCCGACACGTGGTTGTTGATCAAAATTCCTTTATCCCGGAACGGCCATTCTTCGCGAATAAAAATTTTACTTTCGCGAAACTTTCGCGAACTCCATATTTATCTTTCGCGGGGCCCATGTTGGCCAACAACACCTCTTATGAAGATTCGTTCACCACCTGCCAAATTACGCCAGAGAGTCACGGATCACTTCTTGGTAGCCTTTTAAACATGCAGCTAGCATCACGGAATCCCTTCTCAGGACAGATTTTTTTTTTGCAAAGTTTACTGGCCCACCCCCTTCAACATGCACTTTGACTTTCGCCCGCTCTTTCGCATAACTTTCGCGGAACTTTCGCGAAAATATCCCTATTCACAGACCCCGGCCATCAGCAGGTGCACTGAAGGAAAAGCGAAGACCAGGGGCCTTGGTGTTTGGCTCTCGCAAAGCCTCACTTTTGGAAACTTGGCTACTGCTACTCGCATTCTCTGGTGCCCTTCTCCTGCCGGACCCCGGGCGGCAGTGGGTGGCAGCCCTTTACATATAATGATTATAATACCCAACTTTCGCGAAACTTTCGCGAAATAAAATTTTACTTTCGCGAACTCGAAAAAAAATTTCGTGAGGGTTTCCAACATAACATGCACGGCTTTCGCAATTAAAACTCCTTACAAGGACCTTTAGATTAACCATCACGTAGACACACATACACACACAAACAAATCTGATCAAGCATCCATGACGGCGTATGAATCTTTAAGAGTCTAAATCCTACTATACTAACTTGCACAAATGTGGGACGGTAAGACTTGCAACACCAAGATATTGGAGTTCCATCCTTCATCCTTCATCATCCTTCAGTGCAGCTTGGCTTCGGGTTCTTTCAGCACAGGATGTTTTGCCGCTGCATCCTCTGACTTTGAGAGGTAGTGCCTCGCCTCCTCCCAGCACTCAGCCGGGGCGGCGGCGTGCAGCGGCGTGTAGCAACCTTCGGGAAAAGAATGGACAATAGAACTCAAATGGGACCGACATCGCAAAATGGAAAATCTAAAAGAATTGAATGCTGAATGATCTTGAAAGTTCTAGCGAAATGATATTTCAGTTGTAACTGCCACTCCGCTGGAGCTCAACTGCTTACTGCAGCTGTGTTGCAATGATTGAAGTTATAGTAGCCATCCCAGCACTCAGAGTTGCCTGAAGCCACATCCAAATCATCCAAATCTGGACCATATATGACCATATCAGGTCACAGCATGTCACAGCACTGGGCTGCGACGTGCCTGTCGGCCCATGTCGTCTGTCACAGCAATAGTCGAAATCGAAGATGTCATGCCAGCAGGATGGGTTGCCTCCAGGCTTCCGATAGCCGACACACCACGCCATCCCACTACATCATTATAGAAGCGACATATATCATGCCAAAATATATGCCAAATCATGGCCAAATCCACTACTAAATCTATCTTCCAAACACAACTTTTCACATTGAGTTCCAGGTCAGTTTTTGAATAGTTTTTGGCTGAGCCCTCATCACCCGGCCTGCCACAGACCTTCCAATCTCATCCATGAAACCCCGACATCAAGGCAAGGTGCACCACATGGATCAGGAGGATATGGATACTTCCCAGCTGGGGGATTGAGGGATGGATATCGATGGATATCGATGGATATCGATGGATATCGATGGATATCGATGGATATCGACCACAAGTGATGATTCATGGGGGATTTCGAGATCTTCCAGTCAGCTGCTGAAGGACTTGCAGGTGCCCCAAAAATGGATGAAGACTATGACTAGAGGTGACAAACTCATTGGGTTCCCTGAATTTGGATCAATTCATCGAATCATGGTTGGAATGGCTGATGAGGGAGTTGAAGCTTTGCCAAACAAAAACCAGGCCCCACACAAGATGTTGCTCGGGTCTTGTCTGATTTTTTTGGGGAACCTCAAAAATCCTGCGGTTTAAACCACACGTTCCCAATTAGCATGGTATTTTTTACAATATGTTTGGTAATTTTCATCATTTTCTGACAAAGCCGCTGGAGTATCTCTCTATTTTGTTGCATTCTGTTGGGACTGAACTTCTGAACCTTCGCTTCACCTCACAAACCTCACACTGTCAATAGCGATGTTTCTTTATCTTTCTTTTGGCGAAGCTACTTTGAGCCGTTAGCGACCATCAATTGGCGCATGAGGAAATAAATTTAAATACACACACATATATATATATAATATAAATATATATAACAATTCATAACTACGGCCTCCAAGCCGTGGAATGCAGAGTCCTGCGCATTCATCCTCTGCTAATAATCATAATGCACATAATGCACGTGGTCAATATAGGATATAATTAATAATCAATTAAAGTCTCGTTTATGTGTATATATATATACACATAATAATATACATATATATATATATATTTATACCCACATAAATATATATACATATATTAGATAATATATATATATATATATATATGATTATATATATATATATATGTATGCCGCCCCATTAATCCCCTATATCATCCTGTGATATCCTGTGCTAATCCTATGCTAAATCAGCGCCAGTTCGGCCACCTTTTCTCCGATCGCTCCTCTCGGTGTTCTCGGAGCTGCACGCAGCAGCTCCCTGGTTGTTTCAGCGGCTGCCAGTCCTATGCCAATATCTCGGGCCTTGGTGGGTTGAATGACAGGTTTTGCTGGGGAAGAACTTCTGGCCAAACTAGCCATAGATGATCAGAGATTAATCATCCGGTCACACTGACTCTGACCACTGCGACTGTAACTGAGAGCCAGGCATTCTAAAGAAACCGGCATCTAGCAGTGCGACTGCAGCACTGCTTGCGTGCAATCGTTTGAAGAGGTCTTCAGCAAATGGGAACCTGTACATCTCCCACAAGGTTTCTGAGAACGTTCATAGTCATAGTCATAGGGTGGGGGACATCACTATCGATTAATTATTGTTTTTACCACACCAGTGGGTTGTGGGTATACCCCTTGATGATCCTTGATAGACAAACCCACTCTGAGCTCGCATCCATGATTTCAATTCGGGAGTCTCGATCGGCCCGCCCCTCAGTTGCAATGCCCCGCAGGGTGACCAAAAAAAGACATGTGGCACCTGTGTCAGCCTTTCTCATGCTGGCCAATGTTTCATCATCATGTTAATTTGTCTCGTCTTCTGTTTATCTGAACCATAACATCAATAACTTCAATATCCTCAAATCTCTCTCTCAACTCTTAATAATCTTAGTAGTTTATCACAGTTTATGTTTATCTATCTATTCGCCTTGAAAAGAAACTGACATATACTGAAATAACTTCCTGATCTTCCGCCTGCCGAGTCACGGAAGTCGCCTTCCATAGATATACTTCCCCCTCTGCAAATGCCCCACCACAATGTCTCCCTCCTTCACCGGCTTTACGCCTGGGCACCACGGGGACGCCACAGAAACACCATGAAAAACACCACCGGGGGCAGGTGGTCCATGTTTTTCCCTCACCTGTGCCGTGAGAAGGCTCTGTGCGGACGGCAATGTACACGGAATATGATAAAGTCGGAAACCAACCTTCCTGCAGAGTCAGGGCACGCAGGGTATCGGCAGTCGAGCCCATGAATTCCCCGAAATTCATAGATTTAGAGCTGCCAACTAACTATGAGGCCACTATGACCATCACAGTAGTTTCATACATTCTTTTGATGCGTCACATCATGTCACATCCCGTTTCGTTTGGTCAAACCAACATTCTTGATAGGCCTACCCTGTGAACAAGTGCCGCCAGGTCCTTCTCAGGTTCACCCACCTTGAAGCCCCACGACCTGAACTCATGGAACTGTTAAACTGGGGCTTTGGATTGTTTGGATTGGTGCTGATTTCGTGGTTTGAAAACTCCTAGAAAGGCACACCAGATTTCCAACCCACCAACTGGGACAAGCTGCCAATCGTCCAAAGGGGAGTCTCGGAAATGCTGATCTCTTACCATCACCGTGACCAAATCTTTGGGCTTCAAGGTCAAGCAGCTGGAGTCCAGAGAAACCTGGGTCGATGGTCAAAGTACAGGATTCAGCTGATGAAATCATCAACCCAAGGCATTTTGGCCAAGATGAACATCTCAACTGGGCGCTGCCAAGTCACATCTCGCCTTGGTATTTGCCAGCGAGCCGAGCTCACCAAAAACTTGACGTCTATGCAGTAACAAACTAACAGAGCCACTTGAAATTTTGAACAGAAAGTTTCACACAGCTCTGCAAGGCACAGTACCACCTCTGGCTGCTCCAAATTGCCTTGGCGGTTGAATGGTCTCTGTGGCAAAGGATCAGCCATAGAACATATGTCCCAAATATGTTCCAAATATGTTCCAAATATGTTCCAAAACTGTCCCAAACGTCCCCTATGATTCTTGGGTCAACTCGACACTTCCTCACTTGAAGCCGAGTTTCTCTCTAGAAACGTGCTGCTCCCTGCCTTGAAAAAGGCACGAGTGGCTGAACCACATCCTCAGTTTCCAGCATCAAATCCATGAGTTTCATTCACCCATAGTAGCCATAGTAACCTTAAAAAAATAGAAAAGTAAAATCCTACTAAAATAGTGATGATTTGAATCTTTTCTATCTTTTTGGGGGCTAAATAAATACATAAATAAATAAATAAATACATAAATAAATATATGTATATATATATATATTATCATACTGAAATGATGGCTGCCCATTCAAATCCTGTACCAGAGCCAAGCAGCCACCAAAGTGGCCAGCTATCTGAGATACGTCTGGACCTGGCAGACATTCCACTGAAAATCAGTGTTCTTTTCCTAGTGCGGCAAGTCATTTTCCATAGAAGTTTGGGGCCCCATTTGGTTTGATTCTCACATTCAGACGCCATCTAAGAAAAGAAAAACTCTAGGATCTTCTGATACTCCCTACTTGGCCAGCCTATTGCTTTTGCGAACCTCAATCAAACCAAATCGAAGAATTCCAGGTAAGAAAGTATCGCAGGACGATTCTTCACAGCCAAGACCCCTCATCCCTGAAGATTCGAAGGTCCACTCCTGTACTAATGACTGCCTTCAATAAGCACATATTCTATATTGAAATAACATGGCTTGTGTTGAATGAAGACGTAACCAGCAGCTCGAACATAAACATCCTCCCTCAGAGTGGCAATTTCAATCATACAACATATTACTCGTAAAACCTGTAAAACTGTAAAACTATCTGTCATCAGAATGGATGCCAATGTTTGCTGGGATGACCATCCTATCTTAAGCACTTTCGCCTCACCATGAGGACCAGGCCTCCCTCCAAGCTCCGCAAAACCACACGAACTCCATTGGCGATTTCCAGGACAGCACCAAAACAGCGACCTTCATCACCTGTCAAACTGTTCCCTGGAAGCCATGGATGTCGCACCCAAAAAGCTCGAGGTTTCCTGTTAAAATTTTGCCATCATCCAATTCCAGGATCTGGTTGAGCCGGAGCCCCCGATAAAACATACCAAGTGAAAGCCATCATTGCCCGGGCCTGCGCAGCGGTCCGCCAACTGCTGCGCCAGGAATTCCTGGCCAACATCACCAGTCATTGCCATGTCCGCCAACTGCTGCACTTCTGCTGATCATTGACAGGTCATTCCTCACTGCTGCCCAGTTTCAGCCACTCGACCTTCAAATTTGGAGGACATGAGCACCATATTGCATTTCCACGCAGGAAAATGACGAAAGACCCGCACCTCAAAAAACCACGGGCCTCAACACTGACCGTCTTTGCCAAAGAAATATGCAGTGTTCCGTCAAGAGGCAACGCAGGAAGCGGCAGCCCGTGCTTGATCTGCTGCAATCTCTGCGGCCCTTTCTCTTCCTTCGCGAAACGGGACGTGTCCCGAACAACGGGAGTTGCAAGGCAAACTGCGGGGCCTTTTTCGGCAATGACTTGTAGCCGCTTCCGCGTGGCTTGGTTGTCATTCAGCAAGTGATTGAACTTTGTGAAGATCTCATCTCTATACCTCAGGTATTTCAGCATGCCAATTTTTTCAGTTGTTTTTTGAATGTTCATCTTTACCTTCGATCCAAGGCACGCCACAGGTCGTAAGAGCGCCTGTCACCCCCAAGTCCCAAGGTCCGGACAGGGGAGATTGTATGAATTTGTGATGTGCTGCAAAAACTATCATGTATGTTATGTGATTGTATTTAGATCCAATCCAGTACATGCCCAGCAAATTTCGCAATGAAAGGATCCCGCATGTTTAAATGACAGTTTGAAAGGGTGGAGGCTTTCCATCGCCATGTTTGACTGACGAGTAGAATGGCGATCTGCCCAAATATGATGGGTGGTGAAGCAGCCAAGCAACAAATAAACTCTTTCGATCCTGACTGTTTCTAATCCGGTATCATTTTCCGATGATCAACAATTGTTTTCACCCACACGTCATCAAAATTCATGTCATCAAAATTCATCAAGATTCTTGATGTCATCTAGGGATCACCAAAATGCAATCCCTCATCCCTGATCCCATGGGCCAAACAACAGCACCCCGCTGCGGGCACCCGCTGAGGGCACCCCGGCCTTCACCTCAGCGTTGATATCCGTCACATCCTCCAGCAGTACATCAATGCCATCTTCCATGGCCTCCCATCAGGTATGGGTGAGGTAAGAGAAAATATTCAACGTAATTAATTAATCAAATTAATCTATATATATATATAAATATCTAGACATAGACTTGAGGCCAGGGGGGGAGGAAAGCTAGCAAGGCTGGGGTAGGGTGGTAATCGCAAAGGGGGAACAGCAAGGTGAAGTCGGAATGCAGCAACGGTCTCACGTGGTTTTTTGGAGTTGCTGCAAGTCACAAACGGCTGAAAGTCACAAACAATGCCACTCTTTTGATGTTGATGAGGTTGCTGACCAGAACAAATGAAGGAAACTGATGATGACGAAAGTGATGGTAACAGGAATGAGTTGATGAGGACGATGATGAGGACGAAGAGGATGATGAGGATAAGGAGGATGATGAGGATGGGGATGATGAGGATGATGATGATGAAGAATGATGATGAGGATTCTGAGGATGCTGAGGATGAGAATGAGGACGAACATGAGGATGATGATCATGATGAGCAGGGCTGTTGTAGGGTTGCAATATCTATTGGAACCAGGTAGCGAAAACCCACCAATGCAATAGTCGTCTCTCGCCAGGTTTTGTAAGCAAAAGAAACGCAAGATAATAAATAGAAAACACATGGAAGCCCAAATCTGCAGTATGCACACAAAAGATGTTCAAGACAATGAAACATATGTCTGTCTGTCTGTCTGTCTGCCTGCCTGCCTGCCTGCCTGCCTGCCTGCCTGTCTGTCTGTCTGTCTGTCTGTCTGTCTGTCTCTCTCTCTCTCTCTCTGTGTGTGTGTGTGTCTGTAAGTATGTAATCTGATGTGATGTGATGTAATGTAAAGTAATGTAATGTATGTAATTGTGTCTGTAGGTATGATGAGGATGCGGATGCAAATGGGGATGCATGATGAGGATGAGGATGAGGATGAGGATGAGGATGATGATGATGATGATGATGATGATGATGATGATGATGGGGATGATGGGGATGATGGCGATAATGGTGATGACGGTGATGACGGTGATGATGGTGATGATGGTGATGGTGATGGTGATGATAGTGATGGTGATAGTGATGGTGATGATGATGATGATGATGATAATGATGATGATAATGACGATAATGACGGGGCTGATGATGAGGAGGAGGATGATGATGATGATGATGATGGTGATGATGACGAGGAGGAGGAGGAAAATAATCAGGATAATTTGGAAGCTGGCAAGTTTCCGATGACGATTTTATACTTGAGGGTTGATTTACTGAACATGATGTCCTGAAGATGAAATACTGAAGAGGACGACCCTATACCTGCAGGAAACCAATGGCCCGGCGGGACCAGGGGATGAGGACGCTGAGGACGAAGAGGATGATGAGGATGAGGATGAGGATGAGGATGATGATGATGATGATGATGATGATGAGGATGAGGATGAGGATGAGGATGATGAGGATGAGGATGAGGATGATGAGGATGATGAGGATGATGATGATGATGATGATGATGAGGATGAGGAGGATGATGATGATGATGAGGATGAGGATGAGGATGTGGATGAGGATGAGGATGATGATGATGAGGATGATGATGATGATGAGGATGATGATGATGATGATGATGAGGATGATGAGGATGATGAGGATGATGATGATGATGAGGATGATGAGGATGATGAGGATGATGAGGATGATGAGGATGAGGATGAGGATAAACATGAGGATGATGCCCCTGTAGCAGCCGGAAATCTCCTCTGGGGGGGGCCTTGGGGGGGACGGAGGGGTCTAACTTGAAAGTTTCAGGGTTTCCTACGGTCCTGGTGCCTGCCTATTCCTTGCTAAAGCAAGAGCAACTTCAGCTAGCAAACTTTCGTGACATGAGTATGAATATACTCATGTCTATGTATATGTATAGCAAGAAATATAAGTATAATACCATATATACTAACATACATAAATACAGCTTACATTCATTAGCTGGGTTTAGCTGGTCGTTGCGGATCACCATCCTGTTAAGTCACCGCAACCGCCAAGCAGCACAGGGCGCCTTGCCGTCTTTGAAGACGTTGCGTCCCAGGTAACTATCTTCGATGGCCCGCAGGAGCAACGGCACCGGATCGCCTTTGTTGAAGAACTCCCAGGCCAAAACGCCGGCACCAAGGCGCGGATCGACCTCAATCCACGTACCTTGGATACAAGCAGTCAACCCAGCTGGATACTGGTTGTACTGGTTGATGACAAAGCCAAATAACTCATTTAACTACGAAGCCCAATTAGTAACATGATGTAACATGATTATGATTAATTATATGCTATAATAAGTGTGAATCAAAATGAATCAAACACGATGTTGATCACTGCTCAAATTGAAGTCTGATGTCTGATCTTGCCAGGTCATGCCAAATTCCAGTGCGATTGCAAAAACTTATCGCCGAGGCACCCAATTGGATGAGGTCCTGAGGAAATTTTTGAGAGGAAGGTCCAAAGAGTACAGTACAGAAAAGGAATCATCCTGGGCCTTTCATAACCAACATTGCCAAGAGTCGTTCTTGTCCGGCTCCTTAGCGGCATGTTGCAACAGCAAGCCCCATGGGCACATCCTGCCACAGTTCTGTGTTCTCACCAAGGTGCTGAGAGGGTATCCTCGGACTGAAGCACCAACACCTGAGCGCCATTCTCGATCCTCAGGGCTGCGTGTGGTTTCCCCTTGAGGCATCCTGATATCATCTGATATTCACCGTTTTTGGACACACCGAAAACCGAAGGGAAGAGCCTACAGTGGCCCAACGTTGGAATCTGACATCAGCATGTTTACATCTGCTGTGACCCATTTGACCAGCAGGTCGCCACCCCAAGTAGGCAATATTCCTTTCCGCTTTTTTTTGCTGTTGTGCTTGTTTGATCTTGTTTGGAGGTTTGCAAATGCAAAGCCTGAGGTGAAACCTTGTCTCTTCATTCGATACCACTTGGAAAATCTTCACGGCCAGTTTAGGTCATGCGGATACTCTTTCCACCTCTGCATGGTGCGGCTGTTGCTTTTCCAGGAGTGTCTGATTTATGATGCACATGGAAAACATTGCCTTTCATTTTTTGGTGCTTCTGCACAATTGAGGGCAGACCATTGTGGAACACGGATATTTTTTTGAAATTGCTGTGGGGAAACTGATGGCGAAATCTCTACCAATTCCGGAAAGCCACCTGACATTTTTCTTCGGCCATGCTGAGGTTGCAGTCACGTTTGTGAGTGCCTGGAAGAGCCCTTTCGGAGCGACGACGGTGAAACACTGTGGGGGGCCAGCGAAGATGTTGGAAAGCTGGAGACTTCAAAATGTAGCAACGGAAACATCAAAAATGGTAGCAATCCAATTGTGGTAATTACGAATCATTAATCTTGACTCATCCCCATCTCATACAATCCATATGCAACGGGTTGTCTCCAGCTCCACCACCGACAGAACCCCTTTCATCAGCGCCGCCAGGCAGCTCCTTTCAAAAAAAGTGGGCTATACGTTAGCAGGGTCTCAAAGGCTTTCACTATAGAGCCCGTGGACTGGCCTGCGCATACGCATACATAAACGGCTTCAAATACGCAAACAAAACACATATTCCCGACATATCCAGAAATTGCGGCTACCAGCTGTGTTCTTTATGTTTATGTTTACGTTTCTTGTAACGTAAGGGATAAAATAAGGTCTTATTTGCCCACAATAAGGTCTTACAGTATCTTTTCCCCGACGTACAAACACAAAAACCACATACATGTACAAACACAAACGTTACAAAATGTGTTTGCGTATGTTTGCGTTCTCGTTTGCGTTTTGTTTATGTTTCCATTTATTTATTTTTATGTGCGTTCCAACATACGGCATTATTTTGCGTGATTTGCACAACATAAGGTCTTATTTTTCTTCCGGCATAAAAAGCCACATAAATTCGCCAACGTAATTCTACATAAGTAAAACATAAGCGCAACGCAATCCAGTCGCAAAATACGTTAATGTGTCAATATGTGTCATATGTGTTTCGGATATGTTTCACATATGTTTCGCATACGGCTCACATATGTTTTCACTTGCGCCGCACACACACGCTTCACATACGCATCACATACGTTCCACCAAGGTAAATGTGTATGCTTCATATGAGTTTTAATTATATATGTTTTGCATGCGCGGCCACTTAGGATATCTATACGTACCCCCTCGTCAGGCTCCTATAGACGGAAGCCCTGAAGGCTTTTGAGATTCAGCTAAGCTACACGTCCTTCGCCTCCCTATCGGAAGTATCGTTGAGCTCAATCTCATCCTGGTCATGCCGGAAAAAAGCTAAATTTGAGAAGTGATCAAAATATTTGTTAAAAACCAGTCGTCCCTTGAAATGCTGGTTGGTTGGTAGTTCCCATGATGCACTGTGATAATCCCCAATATCTTGAACATTGAAATGCTGGTTGGTTGGTAATATTTCCGAAACTGGATTGCAATGATCCATGGTAACCCCTCCATATTATTGAATACATTTGGATACATGGTATCCCACACAATAGGGGTAGATCACAGCCACATGGAACAAGCGCCCGTTTCACGCAGCATGCGTGTTTTCATGGTGTGTTCTCCTGGTCTGACACTCTGTTCGCCCGTGACCTTCGATCCACACTTCTCTTCAACTTGTCCACGGACTCCGTCAGAGCCAGCACCTGGGATATGCAGACCCTTGCAGGATGACCGGGATGACCTGTCACTTTCAGATTTGGATCTGAGTTCTTGAATGCTCGCAAGTGGTATGGATTATTCCATATTATTCCATTTTATGTTTTTTAAATTTCAAATCCCAGTAACTCACTATATCCCACCGTTGGCCCCAAAAAAATCATCGCATCATCAAGCGCACCTGTCGGAGTAGCATCTGCAAGTCATAGCTTCTCGCTGTGCCCTTGAGCCGTGCGACGCCCCTGCGGAGCGGAAAACCATTGGAAAATGGCGAAAGCAAAAAACAATCCACAGGCCGCTCTAGACTCACAAGCTGCTGGTATCGTTGATATCTATCATTCTTTCATATTATATAATATCAATCATAAATCCGTGAAAGGAATATCAATCAATTGGTTCATCATATTTGTTGAGCTGATGCCTGATGATATTCAGAAATCCATGCCGATGATGAATAATGGTCAGGTATATTAACCACCATTAACCACCATTAACCACCATTAACCACCCTTAACCACCAACCATAAATTTGTTGAATAAAAATCGATTTCTGGCGCCTGATGAGCTCATCCATGGTGAGATCACCATCTTGATCCAAGTCGTGGATCAACTCGTAGAGGCCATCTGCCTGGGGACTATCCAACTCCAACTAAGCCATGTTGAAAAACAACGAGTTGGCGAAAAACATCAGGTAAAGCTCTAGTATAACATACATGCTATAGATACTATAGCTGGGTAATATGTAATATATAATATATATTATATAGTTATGTTACTATACTATGTAATTATATTTTATACATATATTATAGTCATATAATATAATATAAAATGTTGTTAAACACATAATTACTATTACTATAGTTACTTAATGTTAAGCCCTGAAAATTAGATGATTTTCTCAGCTGCGACCGTGCTGCGTCAGCAGCATCCAGGTCCATTGAGCCAAGCCATAACTGCACAGCGGGATGGCTAACCTGCCATGGGACAGTGCGATAAACCATGGAAAAACCGGTAGAAATAGCCATCAAATTTCTATTCCAATACAACTTTGAATTAATACCTATAATTTATAAAATTTATAATGCTTGTAATGTCACTACACTTATAGAGTTGGGCCCGTGGCTCTGACAAGGCTTCTTACAAGGCCATGTTTGCAAAGATCACATGAGTAGCATCGGATCAATTCACCATGTGCAGGTTGAGTTGCCCTCCAAATGGATGGAACATGATGGATTTTTCTGATCTTTCTGCAACCAGATATACCAGCTGCTCAACAAACCCTCGATTCCTCTCCTGGGGCAGTTCTCATTTGAAAAGGACGACTGAAGTGCCAGGCCACAAGTTCTCGCCATTCATCTGCGTTCACAAAACCATCGCCTGCCCAACTGCACATTTACATTTCCTACATCCTATGTCTGATTAGGTTGGGAATATCAAGTGTGGTATTTGGATGCTCCCAAAGGATCCAAAAGATGGAAACATTGGAAACCAAAAGGTGGAGTCCCAGTGCGAGTTGCCGTTTTGAAGCCGGCCTACATGAGATTGCTGTTGTATTGAAAGTGGCTCATGCACGTCACTTTGTGAATAGGGTTTGTCTGAAAATGGGGTATCCGCAAATTTGATGTTTAATCATCCTACTTCTCATGTAAAATGCTATTTCATGGGGGCATCCCATTTTCGGACACACCCATCAGATGATCACCAGGAAGTGATCCTCAGATCTCCTGACCATAGAAATCTGAGTTGTGGGCCATCGGTATCAGCTTCCATAAATAGCTGTCTCCTAAGCTGGCCACATTGGGATTGGCCATGGTGGCCGGAAACGCCAAAGCCCCCGGAAAAATTGAGACCTTCCAAAGCTGGAGCTGCGAATTATGATGCAGAACATACCTTGATGTCCATGGACTTCGGTTCCACAGGACCCTGAAATCAACTTCAAAGTGGTACTGATGGGTATCAGTGTTTGGCCAAGTCTCATCTTCATTTCGTGCAATTTGTAAGATCTTTCTTTCTGCCTGCAGGGTTCCAAGTCATAGCATCAATCTCCACACATTTTCTCGTTCAACTCAAGGCAGAGTTGAATACATTTGCACAGCCAAACCACCCAGCATGCCAGGTCTCCATAACAACTGGCCTCATCATAATCTGATTGTCTGATGATGCGACTTTGAATGTCTCCTGGCACTGGCTCACCGCACATTCTGAGGCTGGCCCAGCACCAGCTTTATTGGAACCTTATGGATTTTCTGAGTGGCACTTTTCAACCGCAATTAGTGCTTGAGGATGTTCAGTCACCTGGATCTGACATGATCTCACAGTTTGGACCGGGCCTGAATAAAAACGCCATTGATCACTCCAACGACTGCAAAGCCAATGACCAACTTATGAAGAATACATAGAAGCATAAACCATTCCTCGGCAAAACCGCAACACATGCGTCCGGGCTAAGACATCCAAGACATCCAACCCCAATGGTGCTGATGATGACCTGTTGAACTGCGACCAAGTGTCTGAAACCTTTTCAGATAATAACCTGTTTGCGGTCATGAAAAGAAACCATAAGAAACCTCTCCATCAATGATCTATGACTAAAACTTCCACAAAATGTGAACCATCCGCACAAAACGAGTCCTAGATTGGGGTATCATAATCATAAACCGTCTTTCCTCATGCTGCATAAACCCCTTCATGTTCTCCCGCCTATACACCGGAGGCCAATTCCCCAGGGTGATTTCAAACATGGACAGCAGTAGTAGTACTTAAAGAGGACGGCAGCCGTGAAGTAGATGCCGCCCGCCTCCGTGAAGGCCACACTGCAAATGGTCCTTAGAAACTAATTACCATATCTGTTCGCCAAAATTGCCTCACGGACGTGGGCATGCAAGCGAAGTATTCTTTCAGCACGTTCTGGCCTGACAGGCCAGGCTAACCTGAGCTCAAGTTCCTGGAAATCAGCAGGAATTCCATGGGGCCAAAGTTCATGCCGGATCGCATCAAACCCTCGGCAATGCCACACTAGATGAGAAAGCGTGGGAGCATTACTGTTATCACCACAAGCAAAACAAACAGGAATGCGAGTCCGCTGTGATCTGGCCAGAGCGGCTGGCGACCAAGTGGAACCGGTCAAGACCTGAAAGTGTGTTTTATTACCCTGGGCAGCTTTCCTGGCTCTAGCACAAACTTGCTCATCATATGCGGCATCAATCTGTGCATCCCTGCGCTCAGAGGACACAAATTGCTGGTACATGTGTCGCCTGAAGGACTCTCTGACAGTGTGCCCCAACTGAGGCCAGTCAGGCCAAGATGCGTGAGCACGACGCAAACTGATTGTAGGCAACGCAGGGTGCGTCCACGACCATTCACCGTTAGCCTGCCAGCCAAACGCAGAAAGGAGGCTGTCAATGGTGTATGACCAACCCGAAAAAGTCCATGAACCAGGGCACATAGAAGCGCGTTTTTTGGCCTGACGCCAAGCTGCACCTAAATTATGTAGCAAAATTCGACACTGCATATGCAGGTTATGCCCTCGAAGAACATGCCGCAAGGGCACACTGGCACTTGGAAATTCTTTGAGTGCAGTTTGAATAGCAACCTGAAGGCGACTAAACTCCGCTTTGGTGGGGAGTCTGGCGAACCATCCCCAAGTTGCTTTAGCCAAGGGACCGGTGGCCAGAAACACTTTCAGCTTTTCCCAAGACACGGGGAGCCACCGGGCTCTATGCAAACATTTAACCACACTTTCAATTCTGTCATGTTCGGCCGTGCTAGTAGCACGTCTCCTGTTACCCTGAAATTCAACTCCTAAGATTTTTGGGTGATCTGTGACTTGTTGGACAGGGATCCCTTCAGTGATGAAAGCAGAACGACCACGAGAGGATTTGTGAAAGTGAACGGCTTTAGCCTGATTTTCAACCAAACCAAGGTGTGCACTCCACTGCCTCCATAGTTCTTTGGCCATCAGAGCATCCTGAAGGTCCGTTGCCGCGAGGGTTCTGTCGTCAACGTACAACCGCTGTTGTATTGACGGCACCTGTTGTTGAACTGCTTTAGCAGCGTACTTCAGGACAAGTGAAATGGCAAGCATGCTCCAACCGTCACCTTGTGGGATGGAAGTACCTACAGGTTGCACTTCATCACACGCCTGTCGCGCATAAAGAAGAACACGCTTCTGATTACACCACACATTCTGAAGCATTTGGCAAATGCTTGGCGGTAAGCCAACACTTTGAAAAGCATGAAGTGCAATGTTCGGATGCAAATGATCAAAGGCGAGGCTAAAATCAAGAGCAATGATGTACTTACCCTCATCGACGAACTGATCAACCTCAACCAGAATGTCGAAGATTTCAGCTCCGCGGCGACCGCCCCCAGAGGTATGCGGCCACCACTGCTGAATCCATGACTGGATTTCCGTACTGTGAAGCCTGGTAGCTCCCCAGAGTCGCCACCATGTGCTGAGGACTGTAATTGGCCGGAGTTTGTCTGCAGGAAAACTTTGAAGCAACGAATCCTGCCCATTGAGAGCTTTGGGAATATGTACCTGCTTAGCACATGTCCAGACATCTGGGACCATCTGATGTTCCTCGAAGAAGTTGAAAAGAACTGCAACTCGTTCAAACACGCAGCTGGGCAGCTCACTAACTTCAGACCCGTACCAACCATCTACCGATGCCGAGCGGCCATGCAGTTTGGAAGCCACACGAGCTATGTCAACCCAAGTGATGGGCATCAAACTGATGGTTGGCAAAATATCCATGTATGGCGCAAGCTCCGACAAGGAGTGGTCGACATCAGTGTGGCGATCCCAAACTGTACGCCAATGTTGCTTCAAGAGATTGAGCGCATCTTCAGTTGTTTGGGTAACCCCATGGTTTGGGACCCTTTCACTAGTGAGATTAATTGCAATGACACTATGTTTCTGTTTCAACCAACGGTAACACTCCTTAGGGGAATCACGAAGGCGTTGCTTCCACTGGTTGATCCTGCTATGTTCCATGTGATTTCTCAACTGCCGAAGTTGGTCAGAGACGAACCTATATTGATCCTCAACAGTCCCTGCAGGCAAGGATATGGCATTGCGAACCTTTCGACATAGTATGTGGTATTCCCTGGTGTGTTGGAGACCTTTACGTTCAAGCCTCATCATCTGCGCAAGCTTCCCAACCACATTTGCAAGCTTTCTTTCGCGAAAAGTGGTGTCGGGTCTCCTGCGAGTACCATGAGGGCACGAAGTTCTAGTCAAATTCACGGCATTCTTCCGCACCCTGATGTGACGAGCAGGCACATATGCCTGCGGATCCGGATTGGCTTCCTGGTGCACTTCATCAGAAACTGCAAGCAAAACCTCCTCCAGAGTGGAGGAAAACTCATTCCACACGGCATCAACCGTTGATTGGTTAATCTCATGAGGAAAAGGGGACCACGACAGTTGATTCCAGGCATCTTCAATTTTTTGCTGCCAAACGGTTTTAGCACAAAAGTCAGGGCGTTGAAGTGTACTGGCCATACGAAGAACTGCAGTGTGACGGTCCTGATGTCCTTGCTCCCGTGTAATACGAAAATCTAGAACATGGTGATCAGCAATAACCTCATCAAGCAAACCTTTGAACTCAAAAAGGTCATCCCGATTAACGCAAGCATAGTCAATGCATCTTTCACCCAAAAGACGAGTAGGCATGTAGGTACCATCCTCATCGGTTGGCACAAGCGTAACGGCGCCGGCGTCGACAAGCAAGTTAAAAAACTCATGTTCGTGAGGAAGAACGTTATGGTCCCCACAAATCATCCAAGGCACCTGAATAGCATGAACACTTATCCAGTCGAGAATATCCTGATGAAGTTCGGGGCATCCGTCACAAGCAGTGTACATGCTTATGAGAATGATTCCATTAACCAAAACAGCGACTGCCTGGCCATTATGGTGACGCCAGGATTGGAGAGGGCGAGAAGGTAAAGTGTGACGAATCCAAATGCCAACACCACGATGACCCCCTTGCCTATTCTCATGACCCAAAACATAGTGAAAACGATACCCTTTGGCAAAAGCGCTGTTGCACACTGAGGTAGCATCAGCATTACGCATAGAGACTTCTTGAAGGAGCACAATGTCAGGAGTGTCATCACCATGCAATAAGACACGCATTGCAGTCCATAAACCTTTAAAACTGCCGACATTGACAGCCAGGCAACGCAAGGAACAACGTGGCCCCGGATGGGGTTCAATGTCTCCATCTTCAACTAAATTGCGTACCCATTGCGAAATTTGCAAAGCGACAGGCTTACCATCCACGGTGGTTTTGTGCTTGAGCTTCTTCCACGCAGCACGAACACGAACATCGCTCTGAAAAAGCTTTTTGGCTTGCTTGCAAGTAAGTTTTTCATGCCGGACACGGGATCCACCTCCATATCCACCAAGCTTAGACATACACTGCAAACACCAGATCTCATTTTTCCTTCGATGCTTTTTGGCTTTTGCAAAATCAGAGGCAATTTCACTCAGGACATGCGTCTTGAAAACCTTTTGGCGGTATTCCTGACACCGGGCACGGTTCAGGGGGCCACTCCTCGGGTTGGCCTTACCACTGAAAGTAGCACGCGCCAGAGCAGCTTTCCACTCAGTCATGGGCACTTTGGGATGTGCCTGCTCACGGTGCTGTTTCACTGATTTGTGCCGCAGCCGCTGGCTCTGTTTGGGAAGAGCAGCAGAACACAACGGACATGTCCAATCTTGTTCCTGAAGTGGCAGGTTGAAAGACACTTCAGCGGGGCGAATGAAAGTCCGATGCAAAAAAGATTTCCATGGCACATTGGGATGGCACGATTGGCAGTGATTGCGACGAGCACTTTCAAGCTTAGGAATTGTGTCCTTTTGCCGAACGACTCCACACTCAGGGCATAACCATGTGTACATACCAAATTTGTCAGGACCAGTGAAACCAACCTGGGCAGCACAACCGTTACGTTTGGACGTCTCTGCGTGGTGCGCCGTCTTCGCGCTGATCGGGGTAGAATCAGGCCTCCATGAATGTGTGTCAAGACTAGCACGACCTATCTTTGGAGACATTCTAATTTTGGAACGCACACTAGGCATCACACTTGTGGGTGTACTGGATGGCCTCCAGCTAGACGAGGAGGCAGGGGTACCAATGCATCGCCACGAGGATTTTTTGCAAGGCGAACTGTATTTGCCCCCTGCTCTCCACATTGCACTTTCAACAGCGGCTTCTTCCGCCTGAAGCCAAGCCTGGGGCCATTGCTTGCCGGCTTTGAGCTTGGCCAGCTGGTAATGCCCATTTTTGAGCAACAGAAATATTGGCGCTTTGCCTGACCGCGGTTGTCCGAAGCGCATGGGCACATCTTCATCACGACCAGACTGTGGGACAACAGTGATACAAACACCATATCTTTTGGAGGCGGCCTTGAGACTCAAGCCGTCAATCCAACGGCCATCTTTCAAGGTACAAGACAGCCAAGACTCCCAATCATTGGGCACGTCACCACCCTCTTGTTCAGCAGTACCTATCACTTTTGAAGAAAACCAATCAGAATATTCAGCTTGATGCTTCTTCATGTGCGTGTACAAATCATGTCGAATGGTCACAGCGCGGGCAGGTATGGAAGACTTGAGAGTTTCAACATCTTCCCCACGTTCAAGACCAAGTGCCATGGCCAAACATAGATATCCACAATTGCCTTTGGCCCCACATTCCACAGCATCATATTTGTCATTGTGAAGGTGAGGAGCACTAGGATGTTCAACAGGTTTCACAACAATTGTTTCTTTTTCTCCCCTGGGCGTCCGTTCACGGCCATCCTGTGTAAGGGCTCTGGTGGTCGGCGCAATTTCCATTTCAGTTGGGCGCGAATTGCTTGGGCGAATGTTGCAAATTACTTTGGTGGAGCGCTTCACCTTAGGTTGGACCCTGGTGAGCAACAGCTGTCGGTCATCTGCACTGATTGCAACAATACCCAAGGCATTTTCAGCTTTGACCGTAGCCTTGACCAACCAACCTTGGTTCTTGGCTGGCGGTTTGAGGATGGCCACAGACGTGCAACATGACTCAAGCAAGCACTGAACAACATCTTGGCCGGTCCACACCCTGGGAGCCCCTGTCAGGCTCCAAGTTTTTGTAACGGGTTCGTAAGTTCCAGGCGCCAAACGGACACCCAGAAAATTGCCACCACCCCGCCTGTGAGCGACTGCAGAGTTCATTTTCTTAGCAACTTCAGACACTCTAGCGAGGTAAGCTTTGGGGTCTTCATTATCCTCTCGGGTCATCCATCTCACGGCCTGCCGTGGCTCACTAGCCGAGGCCAGCTGATCAACAAAAAGGCCATCGTCACCAACATGGTCAAGAACTTTGCTCTTCTGATCATCTTTACAGCGAACAAAACCTTGGAGGATAACATCATCTGGTTCACTACTCCTTGTTGCGACCTCCTTTTCCTGCCACCCATAGTTGGAGTGCAGGGTTGGTGGTACAAAGGTTGAAGCACACATGTGACGCGGATTCCTTTTCCAAGTTTCCCAAACATCACGTGATACGAGCGAGCGGACCAGCGTGGCCCGAAATGTGTGCAGCCGAGATTCAGCGACCGGAACCTTAGTTTGACACACTCTTTGAGTAGGCAGGTCAGGGAGTGCGGAACCGAATTTGAAAGCCCAAAATGTTCGGACATTTGGTTTACCCTGCTTCCAAGTTGGGAGTGCTAAAACACTGGCCGTGGCAGGGCATGCTTCACCTGAGACAGTGGGTGTAATCACAGCAAAACGAGACTGACCATCGATCTTGTGCAGCTCACAAAGTTTCAGGCAATCTTCAACTGTCTTCATTGTAAAGCACAACGCAATTTTACCCTTGGGACATTGACCTTGTTCGAGGGCTGTGCGAACTTGACCTATGTCACAAATATCATCAGGACCAAAGGCTCCTCGCAGCAAAGCAATATCAGGTTTACTACCGCTAGCAGGATTTGCCGCTGGTGGTCGACCAGCAATCTGAGCCCAGGTAGTGCTTGGCGCACCTTGTGCCTGTCGTTTTTGCGGAGGAACTTTGGAGGGTTCCACCTTGGACTTACCCTTGACACCGCCCTTTGCAGTGCGGCTTGTGGTTTCAACAGCTGCTGGCTGCGATGCTTCCCCTTTCCCTTTGCCATTCAGCTTGGGCCGCTTGGCCGGCGGTTCCTCAAGAGAATTCCTAGGAGGATTGGCAGGAACAGCTGGCTTCTTTTCCTTCTTGGCTTTGCCAGCAAAGGGCTGGCCATTGCTGGCTGACTGAACGAGACTGTTCAGACGTTGGAGCAAAGTACCCGGTTTCTTTTGAGAACGCGCTATAATGCGCTGAAGAGCTTTGAGAAGACTTGCCTCACTGTCGGGAGATGCATTCCTCTCACTTTGCTTACCCTTTCCTTTTGGGCCACCAGGAGGTGGCGTATTGTACTGTTGTAGCAAGGCTTGGAGGCCTTGCAGCAAGGCACTTTCATGTGTTTCTCCCCTTCTTTTGGCTGTCACATGGGAGCCGTTGGCGCCTCCACGAAAGAGGCCGTTCAGGCCTGCGCTGCTACTCGTGCTCTGTGCAGGAAAAGTACACCAATGCCTCTTCGACCTGATGCAAAGACTTGCGGGCCGGTAGCACAGCTTTCCCCTACCACAAAACAGGTTTCTCCTACGGCATTGCTTGAAACGCTGCTTCTGAACGATTCTTGCTTGCCACACACGTTTTGGGCTATGCAAAAGTCCTACGAAGAAGAGAAGCCGTCTCAGGATTCGTACGGAACAGTTACACACCACTTGCCAAAAGCTAAAGTACTCATGCAAAAACAGGATTGCTGCCAGCCATGTGTTTTGAGAAGCAGCTCTGATCCCGGCTGCAGGCCAACACATGCTCACACTAGGTGCATGACAATGCTTGTTGCTAATTAACGGAACGGTAAAAGGCTCGTTGCTCATCTGGCCGGGTAACGAAATTGCTTGTGCAGCTGCTCCTAAGTTGGCACACCAACAAAGTAACAACCACAGGCTGCAAAGAGTCAGCAGCGCACTGACTGTTTTTCTGAAATATTTGCTGCCCTGCCTACCTTTCGCACCACCACTAGGCCAGCAAAGCCAGGAGGTAGCCCACACAAACCGAGGACTCTTCCAGGTCCAGGAGGTAGTAGGCGATGTGTCAAACATGGACAGCATAGAGCGCGTGAACCTAGGCATATCTCTGCTTTCAAAATCACCATTTCACTGCGGAAAATGATGATAGGTGATGATGATTCGGGGTGTTTCCATTAATCAGTTTGTCCATTACTACAGAAAACCTTATCTGCAACAAGTCAGTCCTCAGCTGTCTGAGTGCAGCACGTTCCAAAGTATTCAAACACTTCCTTGGTTTCCGGTAGGATCAAATGTCTATTCTATTTCAGCCTCAGCCGCCCCGGTTAACAAATTCACGAAATCATCAACACCACCTCCATGCTGGTGCCCCTCCTCCAGGTTCACCAGCAACAAACTGCTACACCAATGCAAGATCTGCGTGCAGAAAAGTTTCCCGCCTCTCCTCTATGGGGAAGCTGGTCTCATCTAAATACGAATCATACCTCGCCACATTTCACCGCAAATGCTGGACGCATCGATGCCATTTTCCCCACAATTTGATATGTGAAGAGCGAACTATCAACCTATAGGTTTGACCATCCTGGATTTAACGAACCCAATTGGCGTAATTACAGGAATTACCAGGGATCCCAACGAAGACACCTTGGAAAGTCAGGGGTCATTGTCCCAAGATGCCCCAAATACGTTTGAAAACAAACTCGTTAAAACCACCAACCAGGAATATTGGCAGCCATTTAGCAACCCAAATTTTGGGAGGTGTTGACTCAAAGCTGGGGTAACATCCAGCTTCAACTTGCCGGACGAGCGACAAGACTTGGTTCAACAAGAGGGCAATGAGCACCTTCACCAATGGCATCCAAGGGCACGCCAAACGTATGGATGTGTCTGAAAAGAGGGTACCCCAAAAAATAGGCAAATAATAGCGAACATGATCAACAACCAGTGGATGGAATAGGTACATATAGGATCATATAGGTATCTTATTTTCATACAAACGCACTCACAGAGCCGCACAGGAGATATGTTGGACCTGAAGTTGTACGCGTATGAGGGGTCCTAGGTGCCATATCCTGAGGCCAAGGAATGTTCTGAAACAGGCCATGCTTCACCAAGGATCTCCTGTCTTCTTTGGTGGGCCAGAGCGCCCGTAGCATTGCCACCATTTCTATGGTGGCCCTGTTACTTACAACAACTTACACACACTTGACAGACCGTTTGTCGTCTATGAGTCACTTCTTGTTTCCCATCAAGGGATCTGGATATTCCAGTTTAAGGCCTTTTTCAGCAAACAAATGAAACTGCTATGATGAACTCTGTTCGAAAGAACTGCAAAAATGGATTCTGTTGTGTACATACTGCTGAAAAACAGTCGCTCAGTGAAACGGAATGAAATGACGAAAAAACTGCAGGTACGTGGAGTTGATCAGACTCCATATCATTCCATATCCTAGTCTACTGCATGGAGCTTCGTTGGCGACAGCCATGCAGCGACTTTGTCGCCCCCTGCTGCTAGTAATGAGTTAAAACTTAGACGGACGACGGAGTAATTCTGATTATAGCCCTTTGGTACAGGGGTTGCCCCCCCCCACAAAGGCGGTATGTCGCAAAGGTGCCGAACATCTAATACGGAAAAACGGAAAGCTAGAAAGAATTATGTACAGGGAGTACGAAAATGGATCAGCAGCCATTGGTGGCAGAGAAAGCACGGTTGACCTGAGCAAGGGTGCTACGAGTTGGCTAAACCCTTTCTGTACATACAGGGCTCCCAGCTGGGAAAGGCTCGCAGATACCAAATCCGGAGGATAGGAATATATAGGAATATTTTCGAATTATTTCGAATTAAGTGAGCCCGGTGGAGAGATCCTGCAGAAACACAGTCCCGAATTTGACGAATGTCTGGCTGGCGATATTGTACAGTTCGATATAGTTCGATCCTGTATATTGACGGCAAAACCCAGCAACAGATCGCCAAAAGCAGCCAAGAGCTGAAAATATATAAGCCAAACTGGACGGTACAATCTGTTTGCATATGGAATCCAAGGCTCGGCTAGTTGCTTTCAGCAATGTGGCCTGGAAATTCTGAAAATAACTCATCAGTGCGCGACCTTTGGTCCACCGCTTTTTTTCCGTTTGAGAAAAGCAAAGGGCATTTTTCCTCCGTGATGGACTAAAACTTTGACGCCGGAGTAATTCTGATTATAGCCCTTTGGTACAGGGGTTGCCTCCACACACGAAGGCCGTATGTCGCAAAGAGTGCTGAACCTCTAAAACGGAAAACGAAAAATGAATTATGCAGAGGGAATGCGAGAATGGATCTGCAGCCATTGGCAACGGAGGAAATACGGTTGGCCTGAGCAAGGGTGCTGCAAGTTTGAGCAAAAAGATTGATGTTAGTATTGCAACGAACGGCACAGCTTCAGCAGAGTTCAGAAAACAGGATTTTTCAAAACAGGTTCGGAGAATCACTGTCGCCCAACTGCGTTGTTTTACAATTGCAACGCTTGGTAAACATCAGCTTGGTTAAACCCTTTCTGTACATACAGGGTTCCCAGCTGGGAAACACTTGCAAATACCAAATCCGGAGGATAGGTATATTTTCGAATTAGGTGAGCCCGGCTTTTTAATCTGCCCAATCTGAGGCGGAGAGATCCCGCAGAAACACAGTCCCGAATTTGACGAATGTCTGGCTGGCGATATTTTACAGTTCGATCTAGTATATTGACATCAAAACCCCGTAACAGATCATCATCAACGGTTTCGAGCCCAACAAAGGTGTAGAGTTGGTTGTCGTAGAATTTCAGCAAAAGATTCGGACCAACTTCGTTCCACCAACGTGACGGCCAGATTAGAAAGTGATGGAGAAATCTGGCTTCCAATGCCTGCTCCTCGAGTCTGTCGCCAAAAAACAGCCAAGAGCTGAACAAATATGTAAAGCCAGACTGGACTGTACAATCTCAAAAATGTCACTGACATACAGACATTTAGTCTGGAAAGCAATTCGTTTCAAGGTTCCAGAATATGTGGACTGTACAGGGTCTCCTCGAGCAGAAAGGTCCACTGAAATAGTCACCAAATTGCGATCATTGTCAAAATGTTTTTCCTCTTGAGAAAAGCAAAGCCGTACGGAAGCTGGGCATTTTTTCCGGAGCCCCACTTATATCTACGGAGGAGACGCAGGGAGAAAGCGTCGTGGATCATTTTTGTGCCATTGCTTCTGTGAGCTGGAATCTCTCAAAGAGAGCAGGATCATTCCATGTATTAAAGCTCCTTGAAAATACAAGCGAGCTCTCAAATGTCGTGCTGGAAGAAAAATGGAATCGCCAAAGATTGGAATTCAACAGCAGTTGTTCTCAACATGCTTTTTAAAATGAACTACGCGATGTATGTGGTCTATGACTAGAAGCATGTTCACGATCGAGACCTTCTACATTGGGAGCTGAATTCACAAATGGTCCGGTTGGATCTACTGCCGTTGCACTGTTGGGCATCTCTACATTGGAGAGTGTGCCCGGTGGTGCTGGTGGTCGACCTTTGGAAAACACTTGAATCTCGGCCGGTTGAAATCATTGGTCTTCCCCATCGACTGTACACGTTGTATGTCATGGCTCGCAATCAAAAGTGTTCAAAAGCAGAAACAGTGGAAAAATGACAAACACATGTCAAATGAGATCCGAAGATTAAAACTTGGAACATGGAAAACTTTGTGAGCAATCGGAATTCTTTTTTGGTCGTGAGACTGGGCCGAAGTGACTATGCAAGAAGGAACGGGCATACTCATGCGCTTCGGTTATGTACAGTGGATGCACGACGAATCCGCTGAAAAACTGTACATGATGGGCAATGGTAATGTAACCGCAGAACTATACATAATGGAAAATCGAATGGGAATCAAATGAAAATTGTTCTCTTGCCTTTTTTTGTTGGATTCATAGTTCTTTCAGATGAGGGTCCGGAGACCTTTGTTTGGGAAAACCCAAAAGGTTCAGAGAGATTCAGAGAGATTATGAGAGATTCATGGTACAAGACCAATTCAGAGATTTTTCAACTTCTTGGCACGGTAAAACATGCATGAGGAGATCTTGGATCTCCAGGAAAATATCTCGCGAATTACTCAGGTTGAGGAACAGTTGGAAAATTAGTTCCCAAATCATATCGTGATTTCAGAGAATACAGATGGAGATAATCATGATCAAAACGATCCAGGAGTATTGCCTTGTTTTTCTCTGATCAAGGAACAGACATGGCCGAAGCCCATTCAGATGAAGAAATTCACACGCCGGCAATCCTTGAGGATTTTTTACCAGATCACGACTGGACCATGACGGAATCTTGGCCGAAGACACTTGACAGACCGTTTGTCGTCTATGAGTCACTTCTTGTTTCCTATCAAGGGATCTGGATATTCCAGTTTAAGGCCTTTTTCAGCAAACAAATGAAACTGCTATGATGAACTCTGTTCGAAAGAACTGCAAAAATGGATTCTGTTGTGTACATACTGATGAAAAACAGTCGCTCAGTGAAACGGAATGAAATGACGAAAAAACTGCAGGTACGTGGAGTTGATCAGACTCCATATCATTCCATATCCTAGTCTACTGCATGGAGCTTCGTTGGCGACAGCCATGCAGCGACTTTGTCGCCCCCTGCTGCTAGTAATGAGTTAAAACTTAGACGGACGACGGAGGAATTCTGATTATAGCCCTTTGGTACAGGGGTTGCCCCCCCCACACACACAGATATATATATATAATGTAGAATGTTTGAGATATAGACATACAAATATACGGTGTGTGCGCATATATATATAATATAAATAATCATGATGCACACATGATGTGCAAAAGATGCACATGCCAAACTTATCTCGTAGTCACACTCCACCGCATGGCCCTTTTCAAAATGCCCCTCCGAATGGCCTGGAGCACCATCAACAGCACACCTCATCGTTTTCTTTCTCATCAGATTGGTTGGACATTTGCATGGGAAAATCCAGTGATTATTTTCTTTCGTGGGTTTTTAACCACCAAATATATGGTCTTAACCACCCAGGATAATACATGACAACATACAGGGTTCCCTTTTCAAGTTTTCCTTCAGCCAATTCTGGATAGACAAAAGATACATCTTTTGACTTAAAGAAGGGACAGCTGTACATCGATCAACAACCCACGGTCGCAGGCGAAATGGGGCAGCTGGTACTTCTTTCCAAGACACATGCCCAGGTGAGAATCAATGCACTGCCCTTCAAGGCAGTTGTCATCAAATAGAGTGAGTCCTTGGCGAAGTGACGATGTGATCGCCCTATGGCCTGTGGATACATGGGCAGATTATGGCAGATTGGGCGGGGGAAGTCCATCGTCATACCTGGGGCTACTGCTGGGGTGATTGATGAATACAACTTGATATAACCATGGTCGCAGTAATAACCCTTGTAATTCGGGATGTGACCCCTATCATTCGGTGAACATAAATCCAACACTCCTTGCAGAAGACTTGCAGTTCAAGGCTCAAAAGTTTTTATCAATCGCACCAGCCTCAGAGTTGCAGTCGGTTGCAGTAGCTTCTCAACACACACTTGGATCTCTTTGAAGACAGCTTGCCGCCCAGCCACTCAAGTTCTGCATCGTAGGTCAATAGTAAGGTGATATCTCCATTCGGAATATCTGTGCACACGCACTTTGTTAGGTACCTACTTTTCTACAATGTGCGGGCCCTCCAGTTATAGTTAGTTTATAAACCCCATTAATTATAGTAGTTATAAATATAATCTATAATAAACCACAGTTACTGGAGTATCTATTTCTTGTTTTCGTTTCTGCATAATAAAACCGGGATAGACCACCAAGTGACCTTAGCAAGCGAAGCAGCCGCATCAAGCGCAGCAATGTGGTGTTCACTGGAAGCATCCCCTGGCCCGAGCCATCGGTCCGGCTAAATATATCAATGTACTAGCACGCCACCTGAGGGTTGGAAGAGGCTGGGAAGATGCTGGTTTAACATGATTTAAATTGAATGAATCTAATTATGACATATTATAACTGTTTGGGCGGGAGTTCTTTTGGCTTCTTTTGGGGTGTTCTTTACGCATGTTTGCGGTTTTTATGTCTCCCCCCTCAACCACAGACACACAGCAAAAAAACAACCGTTAGCAGCCAAGATGCGAGGAAGGTATCGAACCAATTCCAAAGATCTCGTGCAAATTCGCAGAATTCGAACGCTAAGAGTTTCACCAAAATTTCCAGGGTGAATGCCTCAAGACGATTCAAGACCAGCATACTGTGGCATGTATGGGAAGCCCTAAAATAAACCATCGACATCTCGACTCATCGTCTCAGCCAAGAGGCCACACCAAAAACATATTCCTTAGTCCAAGAGGCAACTATACTATTATACACAACTTTGCTTCACATCCGGTGCACCAGGCTGGTTGCACACCACCTCTCCGGTTGCCCTCTCCACCACTAGCCATGTGGTGCAGCATGATGCAGCCACGTCTCCAGTGCCATGAAGACATCTTCCGCCCAGGGCAGTGTCACATGGGTTGGCACATACTCAGCATAGCCCAAAGTTGCGCCAATGTCGATGCCTGGCATCCACCTTGACTTCCTCTAGATTCAACGAGATTCACGAAAGCAAAACACCATTGCAACCAAATAGCGTTGTTGAACCCAAATGTTCTTCACAAGAGTCATTCAGCTTTAGATATCATATGTTTATGATTATTTATTCATCTATCTATATCATTCTATATCTTTGCATTTTGTAGCTTTTTGAGGCAGCGATCATGACATGATGACGTTTGCAACAGTGATGACAAAACGTGACTTACCAATGGGACCCTCGGCCACATCAACAATTATTGAGCTAGATTCTACCCCTTGGTAATTTGACATAATTATGGACAACCACCATTTTTTACAGGTAAATCATGAATTTTCTATGGACTATCTTCCATAGCAAACAGCAAATTTACCGGGTGGTATACTTGGTGAATCTTTCAACCTTTGGATGGTCAGCATGCATCCTGCCTGCCCGTTGCACGTCGGCCGCCATAACGAGCGCATTGAAGACCTTGGCGATGCGTCTATTCCTTATGCCTCCTCCATTCTTTGCCAAACTGAATGGATGATTTCTTGGACAAAGAATTCAGAAGTGAATAAGACGTGAATAAACATCAACGCAAATGGGACGCATGGATGATCTGTGGCACAGGGCCAACCAATGAAAGGTTTGAAACCCATTGAGGTGCTTGGTTGATGAATTCGAATAGTACGCCCCGTTCTTTACAACCAAGGGGTCAATGGTATCAACCCGACACATCCGAGACATTCTTTCCATTTGGCTATGGCTCAAATTGAGGGCATTATTCGGAGACCACAAGCACCCATAAGCATTTGTTTTAGCAGCTTACCCCCAAGTTTGATCATGTTAGATGCTGGTGAGCAACGAGCAGCGAAGGTCGTCTCAAATACAGCACTGTGCCTTGGGATTTTTTCGATGGTTAAACGTATAAGCCACACAAGACCCATGTAAGATTCATCTGCATATTATATGCATATGTATATGATATATGTGTTGCTGTGTGTAAAATTTGAATATATAGCAATCTTCAGGTTCTTTTACATCTATATCTATCTCTTCCTCTACAAATATACACCTGCAAATGCCCAAACGTGCATTTTTTTAAAAATATATGTGCGTATATAGAAAAAAATATATATATATAATCCCGGTCTGGATTAAGTGAAAAGGGTGGGTGGCGCCATTCTTTAGTGGACCGGGGGGGCTAGAAGTGGAACATCTAAAGAATGGAGCCCCAAGCTCTAAAGAATGGATGGGCCAGACTAACATATCATAAGAAATCTCTATAGAATGGAACCCCAATCTCTATAGAATGGAACCCCGAGGGTCCTACAAACAGAGGCATGTCTATAAAATGGAGGACCAGGTGATTGGCCTGAAAAGTGCTTAATTTCATTTTTTCCCTTATTTTTCCCCTAGGAAATGGTGGACAGAGCTGTTGCAAAATTATGTGAACATTTTGTTTATTTTGCAGTATCTGGGGATACCATTCTTTAGTAGTTGTCTGGATATTCTTGATCGACCTTGAAAACGTTCAAAGTTCCACTCTTTAGAGTTTTTGGGTGTTTTTGGGTCCATTATGGTCCGTTCAACAACACGAACCAGTGCCTATGGGTTCCATTCTATAGTATATAGTGATTTGATGTGATTTGTAGGGGCTCTTTTATCCCCTGCCTATGGGGGCCCAGTCTTTAGGTACACAATCATGAAAGGTTTGAGACAATCTTTGCCTCGTGAAATATATATTCTTAGAATTTCTTAGAATCTAAAGCACCTTTCAACACCTTTGAACATCTTTGAGCCAGTGGCACAGAAGAGTTTGGGAAAATCTGAAATAATTACGAAAACATAACAAATACAACATAATTAGATGTTCATTTTTGTATATATATATATTATTAAATAGATTATTATATATACGAGTCCGAGGGGTAACTTGCCCCAAAATCTATGAACTTACCCCACCGCATGGCACACCGCTTACCCCACGACCCCAAGAACTTACGCCATGTGCAAATCACCATGGCACACCGGCCCTCACGGACAGGTTTTTGGATTGGTTTGTTCTTTTCCTAAGGGATTTGGTACATTTTACATCAGTTCGTGAATTCTTTGACCTCACCCCAAATGTCAAGGAACGCACGGCACACCTACAAGATGTTTTCTATCAACCCAAGTTCTCAGATGTAATTCCCATTGTCGGAACAACATATTTAATCTCTAAGAATGTCATCCATGATTGTTTTTCCCAGTGGCACACCGAGTACATCCAAGTACTCAGGTAACAGTTTTCTTTCTGCAGCCGATCACTTTGCCGATCCATGTATGTGCACATTGTTTTCCTATGCGGACTGCAACGCTTTGTACCGTTTATCTGTCTTAAACCTGACACAAAGCGTTGTAAACCGCATGGCACACCATCAACTTGACCTCTAGAAGACCAGGAGTTCTACATGACATTATCATTGCGTTATTTTTACGAGATCCTTCCGAGGTCTTTACGAGATCTGTACGAGATCTGGATTTTGCAAGGCAAGGCAGCAGGGCAAGGCAGCAGGGATCTTTTCTACTCTTCCCTTCTCTGCTCTAGGCCTCTCTAATCACTTCTACTCTTCAATTCGATTCTCTTCTCTACTCTTTCTTCTGTATATAGTCTCTTCTACTCTACTCTTCTCTTCTACTGTTCTCTCTTCTGTGCGAGTCAAGCTATTGAGAAGCCATCCCCATGAGTTTCTATCTCAAGAAGAATATGTCTCAAAAACATGTGTGCCCCTGTAAAGTGTTAGAAAAATCAATGCCACAAACAATTGATTCATCCAGCAAGAATGACATGTATATCATGGACTTCCCAACGGCACACCGTTTGCGGCACAAGAAGATGACCGCGGCATAAGTTACCACTTTGACCCAGTATGATATTATATGATATTATATGTTGATAATATGTCAGTGTTTCCGCACGTTTTTTCTAAAAAAATGGAGGGCCCCAGCGCATACCCCTTGTCATTGAACCAGTGAGCTCTAAAAAATAAAATGGAACTTCGTTTTTTTTTTGGAAGCACACAACTGGTGTCTAAAGAATGGGACATTGTAAATTTAGAGGTGGTCCCAGATGATAACCCGGAACTCTAGAAAATGGAACCCCGCACTTCCACCAGATCAGGTCAAATAGCGACCAATATGCCTCTAAAGAATGCATTTGGTCAAAGATGGGCAACCCATAAAATCCAGCTCTCTAGGAAATGGCGGGGCCCAGGGTCACCATTTCCTAGAGGAAATTCCAACAGGGATTATATATATATATAGATATTCAGCAGAATATTCATCTGAATGCATATGTAAAGTATATGCATGTATGCACGTATATACGTATGCCTGTATGTTTCCAAGTCTGCCTGCCTGTCTGCCTGCGTGTACCTATGTATGTATGTACCTATGTATGTAATTGTGTACCTATGTGCCTATGTATCTATGTTATGTATCTATACATGTATCTCCCTTGTATTTTCTCTTGTTGTTTGTTGGATTTTGTTGGTTGTTGTGTTTGTTTGCCTGTTTGTGTTTTGCTTGTGTTGTCTGAGCTGCATGCATTGCATGTGTTCATGATCGTTCCTGAAAGTCTCCTTGGGAAATTCTGTGGATCCTGGGGTGCATACAGTCCTGAAGTGAATCAACCAATCCAAATGACTCCGTTTCGATGGCAATTTCGACGGCATTGCCAGCTCAAATGGTGCAAGCCAAGCAACACAAAGCGCCGAAATCTCTTGTAATGGCTAACCTGCTCTTCCCCTGTGTGGGACATGTTGGAATGCAGAATGCCCAAGTGAGCGAACCTTGGGCCAGGATCCAAAAAAAACAGCTTTCCGAGGCCATTGGGACCACCTTTTGACCCACCAAAAATGCCATGAATGAACCAGGTACCGGTCATTTCACATGCGGAGAATCAGCATTTTAAATCAGTTTAATCGGTAAATCATGGGAAATCATGGGAAATCAACTAGTAAATGAGCCATAATGGGCCATTTTCCACAGCAAACTCGAAAAAAATACTGGAAAGTCCCAGAAACTGTGAGCCTGACTGTGTGGCCTTGCGCATCAGCTTCGGAGAATTATTGCTTGACTGAGATTCCTGGCGCCGGCTCCAGGCCGGAAAAAAACAATCCATGGACCGTGCCAATTGATGTGGTCATAGCATGGATCATGATGGATCATGATGGAATGGGAACCATCCTTATTCAGAATTCCAGGTTCCATGGGATTGGTTTCAGGGAGAGAACTTGCAGGGAGGAAAAGGTCAGATTCAGCTCACCCACTTATGAAAATAGCTAAGATGTAAAAAAATATGTGGACTACGCACCAAAATCGTTTAAATACACGCAGGTTTGTTCCCTATAAATAGGGTTGTGCAACACACATTCTCCGACCTCGTATTTGGATCAAGTCCATGATAAACATTTTCAGGGCCACTTCTTGGTGGTTTTTCAAACGGAATTTCTTAGGGTGGCAGTTTCCACTTTCCATTTTGCTCCCCGCCTTGATATCAGTGGAGTCTTCCAGGTGGCCTCCAGTACCTCGGCAAGCCGGCAAGCCGTCGGCACTGAGGTCTTTTGCACAAAGGAACTTAGGTCCAGATTTTGAAGAAATGGGACTTTGGGATTTTTGTAGCAATGTCCGCGGGCAAAAAATGCCGAAATATATCCAAATATCAAATATCTAGATCACCAGCTATCAGCCAAGCATCTGCGGCGATCCGCAGCTTTAGCTTCTTCCAGGTCGGGCTCTGGCTCAAAAATTGGGACGTTCTTCCCACCTGAGGCTTCACATCAACATCTCTGGTCCCAGCTGCTTTGGAGAAGTTTGGATGGTAGACCTGTGGTGAAAAAGATGAGAAACTTGAGGCCACAGGGAAGGGGACGAAAGCTAG